TGGCATCGTCCTGCCCTCATGTCACTCAGACATCCCTGGGCCAGCTGGTCAGCCAGCTCTAACAGTCAAAAACTGCCACTTACTGAAAAAATTTGGCGGGATTATCTGTCTGACCACAGGCTGCATGAGTGTGTGTTGCTCTCATGAGGAAAGGGCAGCCTGCTGCAGGTGGATCAGCTCGAACAGGTTCTGAAACCATATCCTGGAACTAGCCCCTGGGTAATAATATTCAGAGGAAGAAAACTACTGTGCAGCCCCAGTCCTGACTGTGTTCTGTCACTACCATGGCTACAATGAGACTTCTGCCTTAACTTTTTTCACATTCTGCAGTACTTACCAAGTCTCAGTCTGTATGCTTATTGCCAGTTAGGCATATGTGGGCACTTGAAGGAAAAAAAAAGGGTTTGGAAACATTCTCAGTCAATACCTTTTTCTCTTTTCTCTTAGAAGTGAAGAAGAAGGCTGGCTTTATCACTCCAGTGCCGGGAGGGGTAGGACCTATGACTGTTGCAATGCTTCTGAAGAACACACTCATAGTTGCTAAAAAGCTCATTTACTAGAGCAAGTGGGCTATCTTGGAAGAAGAATCCAAGTTGTTCTATTTATTGATATACAAAACATTTATTTTTTGCTACAAAGATATTTATTTCTACATTTTATTTATTTTTTCATGTGAAGTATGTGGAACCTAATGGTTTACAGAATGTTTAAATACTTTGTGTTACCTCCTACTGACTTATTCTGCACAAAAATGAATTGGAGAATGCAGCCTATGCAGATAATTGACTACCAACAACATTATGTCTCTGAAAATGAAGAACAAAGCATGAATTACAAGTATGCCTGTGTATCTGGGGATGGCGTGCAATTACTGATATCTTTTCAGCATTTGGGACCTGCAGTTTTGATCAAACAGTATAAAAACTAAGTTTTAACATGCTAGATATCTTTTAAAAATATGGTTTGAGTTCTAAGGTCATGAAGCACTCTGGGTGCAGGTTGAAGTCCTGAAATTTTTTTTTTTTTTTTAAATACTTAGAGATAGCAGCAGAAATCTTGAATCTGAAAGGAGTGAAAGACTGACATTTTCATTTCAGCTGCCAGGCAGTCATGTTGACATTAATGCAAATGTTCAGTACAGGTTTTAAAATAGTCAATTAAACTTGAATTCTGGTGAAATTCTGACCTTAAGCATATGCAAGAGGTATGCATGAATAAGTAGCTAGAATTGAAGCCAGAATTATTTTCTTTCCATGTCTGGATTTGTTTGGCAAAGTGTTTTGGTGCATAATACCCTCATCCCACAAAATACCTGAATGGATGACTGGGTTGGATCGGACTTTAATTAGGTAGAATGTAGTTAAAACTACTATGTCTGTACATTATGTATAAGGGGGAGTGAGGAAGAAGAGGACGAGAAAAGCAGAAGTTTATCCCTGTTTAAATATTTCTGTTGGAATTTTAAGCCATTTAATTATTCTCTTATTTGCTGAAACTGCATGAAGGGTTTGTTTTTTTTTTTTTTTTAAGTCCGTGATGTAAGACTCTACCCTCTGAATCCCTCGTTACCATGTTTTGCTGCTTAGAGAGGACTACATGGGATTGTAAGATCAGTATGTTTCTATTACTCAAAATTTTAGTTCCAAGATGGGTCTAGAATAGTCTCTTTCAATGTAAAAGTTGGAGTGGAGTTACTGCTAAGATAGCATCTGAACTGTGAGCGTGTGCACTAATGACATGAAGAGCCTACCCCAATTCCTACTGAAGTCAGTGGAAGCCAGCCGGGACTTTTATTTTCATGTTTTTATCTCAGTTGGGATAACTTGGATTTATTTTAATTGAGAGCCTTGAGTGTTTGCCAGTAGACTATAGATAACTTGAAGGGGGAAGGAAAAAACATGTGACTACATACTACTGCCGTTAAACAAAAAAATTGTGCTTACTGTAATAAAAGAAACAAGATGGAACATTGCTTCCTTGCTGATTGTTCTTGTGATGGGCTTTCTGAGAGTTCCGTTTGATGCAGTGTTTACAGAAGAGGTTGATAGACTCATTACTAAGTATATACTCCAGTAGTGCAGACACTTGTTGATCTGTTTAAATTTAAGTGATAGAATAAATGTTAGGAGGATTGAGGTGCCTGTGGAGATAATACTGAGACTGATCAACCCATCACTAAGATGGAATAAAACTTGTTCACCATTATACTGGTCTTGGTGAAAAATGTTAATACAGTTTTGGGGGTGGTTGTGGTTTTTCTTTTTTTTATTAGTGTGGTAAGAGTGGAATGAATGGAGGTGTTTTGCATGTTCAGTCATTATATATTTTTAATCTGCTTACATTGCTGTTCTAGATTCATGTTTGTTTTCTTTGATTTAACTATAATCATCTCTGCACTTTTTTATTTGGCAGAATAACAATTTATGCCATTTCGCTTCTGTCGCTTGAGTGAGTCTGCCTCTTTCATGTCCTACAAACAGTTTATTGCGCATCTTAAGCTTTTTCTCTTTTCTCCTGTGGTGGCTGGGTTAGCATTACACCAAAGCCGGTGAGACCGAGGTTTTGCTCAATGGCATGCTATTTTCAGAGCTGCCAGACACATCTGGGACAGTGTTCTCCACTGGGAGAACATACAGAAGGAAGGGCCTATTAAGCAGCTCAAAAAGCATGCTCGTGTGCCAGAGCTGGTGAAGTCCAGTCAAAGCATGAACGCCCTGTGGCGGACAGAGGCACGGCCTTATCCACAGAAGCCTTCTCCCAGGCCTACCGCACCCAGCTGCATTGCCTAATGACAAAGCCACCTCTCCGATTCAAGCCGGATTAAGCTCCCATTGTGTAGATGGGCGTTGAAAGCAAGGCTCATGAGACTTAGCTCTGCTCGGGACTGATTGCAGGGGTTATCCAGGTAGGCATAAACACTCCTGTCGATGTGGGGAGCGCACAGGCTGCACTCGATCAGCGTGCAGGCATGCAGCAATTCAGGATAGCGAAGGAAGGGAAAAGCCTCCTGGAATGCAGTCCGTGAGCAGGAGAATGCATAATTAAAATGTGCATAACTAGCTTGTGTTTTTCCCTTAACATGTGAAGTGGTTAGATTTAATCCTACAGATCACTGAGAGAGCGCAGCGTAGAGGGAGAACTCGAGCTGACCAGAGTCAGCTTTTATCAGAAGATTTTTGGTTTTAAAATATAAAAATTGTGAAGTGTTTTTGTTGCTTGGAGCTCACGGTTGAGAAAGCAAAAGTTGTTGCTGGGGTGAAGTGCGTAACTCTCCTTCAGTGAGAGTCGAGTTGTTGGTGTGTGTGTACGTTACTGACCTGGGCACTTCGGATGATCTGCTCTAGTGTGTTTGGCTACGTAAGTACCCTTCAGAGAGACCAGTCCTACTTGTTCCAAGCTGCCTGTGACCGAGGAAGTTGGACAGCGTTTGGGGCTGTGGAGACTGGTTTAGTAGAAGAAATGTGTATGACAGGTATGTCTTGGAGACCTCCAAACACTTTATGCAAAAAGTACGATTGTTTTCATTATGCATACTCACTTCCTTGAAAAGGTAGAGATGGGCTTTTATGGCAGTATAGTGGCAGGAGTGATGAAGGGATCACCTAAAAAAGGAGGCAACAGCTTTACTGCTCTTTCAGTTGGTGTTTTCTCAGTGACAGCGCTTTGCCAGGTTTCAACTCGTGCCCGGCACGACAGCCTGTAGCTCCAGCCAGCAGTCCTGGGCTTGTGCAGGGCTGGTGGCCTGCCTTGCTTCCGTGTTGTGCACGTGGGAAGGCTGAGCAAAAAGTGATTAGCATGCCCCTTGGCTCGCCAGAGCCTGTGATCAAAGGCCTCTTGCTGGCAGTCATTGATGGAGAACATCATCCATTATCTTCGTGTCTGATCACTTCCTAATCTTGGCAGTAGCTGTTCTCGCAGTTTCTCTTCTGGATGGCAGGGAAGGACCAAGGAGGGAGCACAAGCGAAGCAGGGGTTGGTCCATGGACCCTGAACTCCAGAGTAGCATCCTGAATGCTGACCGTCCTCCTGGAAGTAACACAAGACCTACATTGCTAAGGGAAAGAAAAATCACATTTTTCACAATACGTCATTTTTCATTTTTCTCACCTCTGCTTTGCTGTATTTCGTTGATCTGCTCTGGCAGATACCAGGTCTCACTTTAAAACTGTATCTTTGCATGCACAATTATGCCCACAGGTAATAGGAAACCAGGGTTTCAAAAGAAAACCTGATCCCATTGCCAGATAATAGCAGTTTCCTAAATAAATGTGTGGTTGCCCTGGGGCTTGAGGTTGTTGCCAGATGCACCTTTTTTTGATTGGTGAGAACAGCAGATGACGCTTCATGGCATATAAGTGCAAGAGAAAACACGGGAGCACAGATAAGCAGAGCAAGCGAGCCATCTGGAAAGAAGAGTTGAGAAGGTCTTTAAAGCAGCTGCTTGCCATGGCATTTGGAATGCTAATCTATATTTTGCTGAAAGGTAGGTTTGGAGGAGGCTTTTCAGTGTTGTAAGTTACAAGGCTTTGTTGAACAACAGTTTGCTCTTTCTGAAATAAGGCATAAGGGTGGGAAGCATGCAAACACATTGCAAAGCAGAATTACCTCAGCAGTTTTAAACCTGGATGAAATTCTAACTGATAGGATATAATTTAGACTCTTTGAAAAGAAGCTATTTAGACTGGTAAATAGGTGTAACATTGTAGTGTATTACAGGTATCTGTGTCGTAAATTGGGTAAGATAGTAGAATGGAGAACAGAATGAGAACGGAATGGATATGTATTTTGGAAATGTGCAAACAATAGTTTGTTTCCCCACAGTCATAATTATGCTGTGGCAAAAGGAAGTTTGAGGCAAAAATGTTTTAAATGAATTGTTATTATACTGCTGCATTGTATCAGAATTGTGTTAAGTGGGTACATGTTTTATGGATGAAATGAACCTTGAATAGATATATTGAGTTTTTCTGTTACAGTAAGCATCTATTTGCATTACACAGCAATGGGGGCATTGAGTGAAGAGTCAGCTATTACTGTTCCATCCCTCAGCACCGACTTATGGAATAATAGCACAAAAAACAACGCTGAAGGTATTTATTTTTTGTTCTGTTTGTCTATATTAATCTGTCACTTAAAAAAAACCAAGACAAAACAAAAAAACACCACCAAAAAAACCTGGACAAAACAACCAAACAGCCCAAACACCAAAACAACAACAAAAAAGAAACGACAAAATCTATTATGACAATAGCAGCTACAATGCTCCTGTCACTTGGACACTGTTGAATTTTGTGTGTGTTTTATTTGTGAGATGAGCTGCTTTCTCCACAGAGCCTTAAAACTGTCTCTGAAGTGATAGCTGCCACTTGGATGGGGTGGGCTCAGCATTGACCAGCTAAAGGATCGTTTATCTAAATTCAGTTATAATTTGAAGATGATATTTTAAGGCTGATTGGGATAAGTGATCTGTGTTTCTGATGGCCGTTGGTGTTACTTTTAACTAGTGCTTGGTTTCTAGCTGTCTTCAGTGTGAATCTTTATGCACACGAGTGGGAATGCAGCAAGCATAACTTCAAGTGATGCCTCTCATTACTGTTACTCAGTAGTTTCTTTCTTTGTTGCAGTTTTGCTTTCGGCTGTCGCAGCTTCTGCAGCCCTTCTCAGACTGCTAGCTCTCTCTTTTCTTTCTTTTACTTTTCTGACTGAAATGTGAACTCAAGCTATTTCCCTGCCAACTGAGACCAGAGCGTGGTGTTTATCCTGCAAGCTGCATTTTGATGTTACTTCAGGTGCTAGTGATGTCATTACTTGTGGAGAACTGTGCGATCTGGAACTGAGGTTTTGGCAGGTCAGTAAAGGAGGAAAGGATTTTAACTGTGATACTTATTAATGTCTTTGTACTTTAAAAAGAACATAAACATGCATACAAATCATCTTCTGTTAATTGTAAGTCATCACAGGATGTCTTACAAGCTTTTTTAAGTAGATCTACAAGCTTTTTATTTTTCTCATAACAAGTCAAACTGTTGGATTTTTTTTGTCTAATTTGTCATAGTGGTACGGTGTTACGGATGGATGGATGAATGTATATATATGTGGGGCTTATATATATATGTGTGTGATATATATATATATATCACACACATATATATATATATGTGTGTGTGATATATATATGTATATATACACACACACATGTGTTTGTGAAGTCACAAAGATGTTGATTTTTGACTGCAGTAGTTTGATTCATCAGTGCAGCACTGTGGTCTGGTGTGGTGGATTTGTCTCTGACACGATTCTTCCAGAGATGCATACAGCAAACAGAACTTTAATAAAGCAGAAATATGTTCTGACTCGTTAAGTACCTTGTTTGTATTATTTCTAGAAAGCAGGAGTTATGAGCCATGTTTTAACAAGTAAGAGGCTTATTTATAGGGACACAGCCGTGTCTGTAGCTGTCCTGTGTACCCTTATGCTAGCTGTGGCTGTGCAAGTCAACTGCATATCAGTGCTTTTAGTTGAGAGTGTGTTCTCTTCAAAGGTAGAAGCAAATTCACAAACATACAAGCACATGTTTACATGGGTAGTTAAAAGTGTATTTCGGTGGACTTTTTACAAAGTCACTGAAAAATTAGAAAATAGCATTTCCAGAAAGAAGATTGAAAAGAAATGCTTAAAGAGTCACCAAAGAAACTGGCTGTACCTCTGATATTTTCTTGTAGCTTCCATTCTTGTGCACGTTAAGTTTATGGTAAAGTTTATAACCGAGGTTTAGTAATACTGGATCCGAAGAAGAGGAATTCCTGCTTAAGTATCGCTGGAGGAACTGGCAATCTCTTGTGAGATTGCAGGTCCTCTGGGGACTGAGGTCCAGTTTGTGGAAAACCATTAATTTCTGCTCAAACCATTTGTCCTCTATGTACAAGATCATGTTGTATTTCCTTATTTTATGTTTCAAAGACTCTACTTGTCACCAGTGCTGGGGCTGGGAAACAGGCTCGGTGATCAGCCGTGGGGGAAAGGGTAATAAATAGGGTACCTGACTGGGAGCTGACACAGTAGGAATAACAAACTTGTGATGCTGTTTGGGCTGAAGGGGAGCTTTCGTAGCAAAATGGGTAGCTAGGAGTAGGGAAGGGCTTGGTTTTACTGTGAAAAAAATGAGATCCCTTTACTGCTGTGAGCTGCTGCTTCTGTGCAGCCTGTAAGGGAGGCCCCGAACCTGGGGCTGACCCCTTCCCTCCCTCCCCTTTCTGACTCTCCCGTTCCTCCCCAGCGCACCATACTTGAAGGCTGAGTTGTCGTGGTCTTAGCAGCTGACTCTTTTTGTTGCCGGTCTGTCAGTTTTGGCATGCCCAGGCTTCCAAGTACCTGTAGTTTTGATTTCATGTCAGATCTTGCCAAGTGTATCTGTTTGAATGACTCAGTTGCAGGCAACTGTCAAGTGCTTACACAGCATGCTTTTCTTTCCTCACGTGACATGAAAGGGCACATGGATGTGTTTATTCAACAGCTTATTTAGTATCTAGGTGGATAATATGATATGAATTAGCATAATGCTCTGGGATGGGTTAGAAAGTCGTTCTTTTTGTTTTCAAGACTCATCATTCTTTCAGAGCTAATTTGTGCTCTTGCAACGTCAAAATAATTGGCACTTAGAATTTTTGTGTGTACATTTAAGATCTGATCTTACAACCCACAATGGACAAAGCTCTTGCTTCTGACAGCACGGGAGGAATGTATTGCTCGTTTGTCGCCTGCGCAGCAAGATGCTTGTCTCAGACGCTTTCTAGGCAGGCTGCTGCTCTAGGCTGACCTTTGTGGTGACAGTTCTGACTTTTACAGCACTCGGGAAGAGGTTTCACATACCCGCATGAAGCGAGGTTTCTTCTAGACATTGGTGGATAGAAGGGTGCCACCTCTTGGCAGCAGTGCCGTAAATGTCCTCATCCATCTGGTGGAAGTTTGAGTAGAGATGGGTGGGGATTTCATGCCTCTGGCATGTAGATTTGTACCTTCATTGTTTATTTTTTTTCCTCACGTATGGCAGAGATACAAATGAAATGTTAAACTTGGGTAGTAGACATCTTCTCAGGGCCCAGCAGAAGAGTAATACTTTGGTTGGTAGGAAACACACGTTAAAGGGTCCCGTTGAGTGGTTATGTCTAGTGGTTTTGTAATGCACCGTTCAGCCCCCTTTGTGCTGAAATGGTGATTTAAAACAGTTGGTGTTGAAGTGTTTGAGAAGCACGGGGAAAGCGTGAATGTGCCATTGCCCATTTCCTGAAACTCCTCCCAGCAGAGATTCAGTAGCTGGTCTTTAGGTACATTACACCTAAGTGAAAACGGGTTTTTGCAGGTCTCCTGCATCCTGGATCTCCTTGGCATGCTGAGCCCTGCAGCTGTGTTTATCATGTGCTTTGTTTTCTGTTGTGCTTTCCCCAGCAGTGAGCATTGTACAGTCCGGTGCAGAAAAAAGTATCATCCATCTCTTGTCATAAAAATCTGTCTTTTCTTCCTGAAATCTGTCCTTTCTTAAGTTCTTCTTCTCTTCCTTAAATCTGTCCCTCCAAGGCCTGGTCCTGTGATAACTGTGCTTTCAGCCAACCAGGCAGTCCCTGGAGCTTGTCGGCAGCGTTCCCGGAGCCAGCCAGAAAAGAGCCAGAGCTTGATACTAGAGCTCGTGTGTAGCCAGTGCCAATTTCTTCCCCTGCAGAGTGTGTGGTTCAAGGCTATGGGTGTGTCTGCCCTGTGCAGGGCTTTCTATAGCAGAGATACCATTCTGGTTCCAGTATATGGGGACAACGTAGCTGTGGTAGCATAGAGCTCACTGCAAGGTGATGCTGCCTGCAAGTCTGCGAGCCACTTCAGGGGCTCCCCTGCTGCGTTGTAGTGTGCCACAGGGTCTCAGTCTCAGCATGTCCTTCAGTCCGTAGGTCACTTGAGTGCTCGGCTGAAACTGTAGATTTGGTTTACAGTTTCTAGCTTTAGCTCTGCCACAGTGTGAAGACTGGCTTGTGATTTTTCCTTACAAGAGTGGAGAAGGTGCGCTTTTCTCAGCCTAAAGACGTTCATTTTAAACCAAGATGTGTTTTTTCCTCCTCTGTAACCTTTCCCGAGAACCTGTAGTAAACCAACACGTTCTTTTTCAAGTAGACTTGAATTGTTACTTGTTCTAAGTCTCTTGATAAGCTGGAAGTCTGATTACTCTGTCAGGTTTGAGAGGGCACTATTTTCAAAGTAGTGTTGTTTGATCTGAGTAACAGTGATAGCATCATGCCTCTTAGGTGTCCAAACCACATGATTCACAACCGAAGTTGTGAATTGCTCTAACATGTGGGCATAGAGTAGAGCAGCTGTTTACCATCTCTTGTCATATCTATGATGAAGCTGCATAAAGGACAAAGAAAAAAAATCGCTTAGTTGAGCACGCAGGGGGAATTCATGCTATCAAATGACTCAAACTAGAATTCAATTGGGAGTTTAGGAGGTTGCTGCTGTTACTCCTGAAAAATGTGTCATGGGATCTCGAGTTGCCTGCAGGACAGCTAGAGTCCTAGGTCTTGGACAGTGGTTCCATCAGTGTAGTATCTCCAGACCGTGATTCAGCACTTAGTCAGAAAGGAAGGTTTCTGTTTGCTGTACTACTGTTCAGCCACTCTGAACAGACCTTGTCACCGTCCTGAATGATGTTATTTTTCTTGTGGTCATAACTGAAAGATGGTGTTGACATATACTGAGTTAGAAAATCACCTTCAGCCATCACTAAAACAGTCCCCTGAAATAGCAAGACATTGCTCGGACACCCTACCCCAGCAGCGATTTCTGTAACTTGGTAGAGAGACCAGTTCAAACAGATACTTGCTTCAATGGTGAAGCTTTTCAGCTTTCTTTGCACTTGCCGCACCCCTGTTCCCATGTTGCAGATTTGTTCCAGCCTCTGCACTCCTGCACAGCAGGGTGCCTGGCTCCTGGACTCGGGCACTCTCCTATCAGAATGTAACATCAAGGTCTGATCCCAAAGAACAGTTTTGCCTCCTCCTTTATTCCCATTTGAGCCTCCGTGGTTGGGAATAAGGTAGTCATGTTCTGTGCTTTCAAAGCAGAAGCATGCTTACTGACCTGGATGCATATAATTTTGCACAAGTTCAGAAACTTACTAGTCGTGGACCGTGCTTTTGCATGGGAGTACCATCCGGGCAGTCTTGGCTGCTCACAAGCATAACCAGGCACTTTGCTAACATTAGACCATGGAGAATGGAGGGAGGGAGCAGTCCCACCGTTTGTCACTCATAGCTGCAGAGCTGACGGGCAGGAGTGTTAGAAATGCAGTAGTTTCTCTTGTGGTGGGGAACAGAAAAAAGGAATTAACTGATCATTTGAATTCAGACTGGGAAGCATACTGAGAATAGTTCAGTGCTCTCATATATGTCTTAAATCCCTGATACTCCAGGGATGTTTTTTCTGATTGGATTGCAGGTTAGACAGTGCTGATGTTACCCTGGATGAATCTCCCATAATCATTTTTATACATGCTTCTCAAGAGCAAGTAAAGCATTTACAGTTTGTTCTTTCTCTGAAGCTATGCTGGAATGTCTTAGAAGCTTGTTCTGCTTAGCGGTGTTTGAATCTGCTCATGAGACATACCACAGCAAATTTATGTATTAAGTGTTTTCTGCAGGCAATGTCTGTTCAACTTGAGTTGTGAAAATATATTAAAATTATTTTTTTTCCCAAGTGTAACGTGACTTTTTCTCCTTTCACAGTAGACTACACAGAGCAACCAAAGCTCTTGAAGCTCATGCAGACCTGTCTTGAAGAACACCACAGCTATTGTATCAATGGGCTCTGTGCTTTCCACAGCGAATTGAGGAAACCCATATGCAAGTAAAGAATACTGCTTATAAGTATCCTTCTTAGAAAATAACAACAGTAGTACTATTTCTTTGTCTCTTACACATTACTAACATAATGTGACTAATTTTCATCAGAGCATAGCTTTCAAGTACCAGTCAGGTATTTGCAGGCTTAAAGTTTGGCCCAGGCTGGAGCACTATGGTGGCTCAGGACAGTTAACAAGGCAGTAGTGCTGTGCTAGTGTAATACTAAGAAAGGGAGAGGGGAAAATTTGCAGCTTTGTAGGTCACTGCTATGATGCCATCTCAAATCACAACTGGCGCTAGAGTAAATAGTAGAGGAAAAAGCAGATTTTCACAGGGGGCCCAATGAAGGGGGCAGGATCTTTGAAGATGTGAGCTGCCACTCCCATATTCCATAACTGCTTACACAGCAATCAGGACTATGATATCCTTAAAATTTTCTGGGGTTCATACTGGGCAGCTTTGGCCTTGGGAGACATTATAGCAGCTGAGGATTCAGCAGAGCACAGTGCTCTTCATCCACGCCCTCTGCGATGAGGGTATGTTTAGACTGAATTTGCTGCTGTGACTGCAGTACTTGAGCTAGCCTTAAACTAGATAGACTGGGTCAACTGGTAGTCTTGGTGAAGAGGTTCTGACTGAGCACCAGATTCAGCCCATCCTCGTTTAGACTTGTTCTAAATTGTTTAAAACTGATGAAAACTAACGTGTTTCTCAAACACAAAGCGTAAGAAGTTCTGAGTAATTCTTGCATGGTGTATATTTATTTTGTAGGTGCCTGGCAGGTTATAATGGAGAGAGGTGTGAACACTTAACACTAAATTCATATGCACATAATTCTTACGAACGCTACATTGCTGTGGGAATTGGTGTAGGAATACTGGCAAGTGGGATACTTGCTATCATCTACTGCTACGTAAGAAAGAGGTACGGGAGATATGTAACCTTCTGATTACACTCATATGAATTACAGTGGGCAGGAAGAAATGGTGTTCAGAGTTTTGAGGGCATGGGGAGTGTGTTCTTGCCTGTTACTGATCTGCGGTGTGATGATAAAGTTGCTGACACTCCGTACCTCTGCTTTCCGATCCACCAGTCGGGTCAAATGGTGTGATTGTCTGAAATGTGGGTTTCAGTGGGGCTGCCTAAATGAGTTAGGTGATTAGCTTTCTGCTCAGACTGCTGTGGTTGTAGATGTTTCTGATTAAATCACATGATCTTGTGCATTTTAGATGCAGGAAATTGAAATCACCCTACAAAGTCTGCATGGGCGAGACGGCGTTGTGAAGGTCGGGCATTGGGACACTTACCAGTTTGCCTGTAAACGAGAGGAAGTTCTGCTGGGAAGGCCACCCCACGCCATCTGGCAGGTACCCCAGCCTCGCTGATGAGATGAATAAAGGGAATGATGGAGGAAGTACATAAAAGGAACTCCTGCAGAACTGATAGGCTCCATTCAATTTTGAAGAAAGACTTCCTCTTTTTAGTAAAGGTTACTAAATGAGCAGGTCTGACCAGCTAAGGATACCTGTAGCCCTCTCGACGCTCTCCTGTGGTTGGTATTTGCTGAGTGGAGGACTGGTTGGTTTTAGCTATTTTCAGTCATTTCAAGCCCTAGTACAGTGTTCTGCTCTGGTCTTTTGTGTCTTTTTTTTTTTTTTTTTTCTTTGTCCCCCCCTTCTTTTTTCTCCTCTGGAGGAAAAGCACAACCTGTGTCACAATGGAGTTGTATTCTGAACATCATGTGCTGACACGTAACCGTTTGGGTTCTGATTTCAGTGTATGCTGCCTATGTGTGTGGATAAACAGCCCTCTTCCAACACTACAGTTATCTTCAGTGTGCTAAGCAAAGTGTAGGCTTCTGTTGCCATGAAGGACAAAATCGTAAAATGCTTTGGACTGAGGAAAATGGATGGTTCTCAAAAGCTTACGTAAACTTAGGAATAGAGAGTAAGCAATTCCTGGAAAATTAGATGGTGACACTTCTGGGCACGTTCTTACTATTTTCAGAAGCAAAGGAATTGGACATCTTTCTCAAAATGGATTATTGAGTGTGCTCATGACAAAAAACTCTACTCTTCCCTAACATCATATAGCAGCTCATCAGATTCACAGAACTTCAGGCAGAACATTACCTTGCTGCAGTGTGATTTCAGCACAAGACTTCAGTTGCTAAAAAAGCTGAAATTTTGCTATGAAACTCGGGTGTAGCCTTGCCCAGGAACACGCGCTCTTTATTCTGTACTCACATGATGTGCACAAATGTGACCATTCAAATAAGAAGGAAGTGACCGTAGAGATTTTGTTCCACCCTGGACAAACAGATTTACATATCAGATGTTTGTTTTTCTTCATCTTGCCTACAAATAATTGAAAAGATAAAAAGATTTTGTTCAAGGAAAAGGGAAGAAAATAGGATCTGAAGACAGTGGCACTGACTGTGACTTCTCACTGACAGTTGGAGTGTTTGCCAGTGCTGATGAGACTGGAGATGACTATGAGATCTTCATTTCAGTTGTTACACATAGCAGGCACATCTGCTAAGCTTAGTCATCTACAAGAAAAAGGCAGTTAGGGACTGTGCAATTTTATGGGATGATATGGCTCCTAAATTTAGGTGCCCTGCTGGAAAGCTCCATTTCTTTGTTATGTGTGTTAATTGTCCCAACAGGACGCGTGTCATTTCTTGAAAAAAAAAAAAACCCCTGTGTATTTGTGAGACTACAGTGATAATGCTGAAATGCGTATGAAAGACTGGGCTTTGGAAGGGTAAATGTACATTTGGCACTTGAGTGGTCTGAAGTTCAGTGGGCTTCTCACACAGGGGCATCCTGGTCAGTACCTGAGTCAGCTTGACTCTCTGATACTAATAAATAAAACGACACATCACACTGGTTGGTTGGAGTCCCAGCGCAACAGCCTGGAGCAAGTGACGCATGCAGAGAAAGGATTGGTGAGGAGCTGGATGAAGACAGACACCAGTCCTTTCCTTTACGCATTGAAATGAGTGTTTTGTAAGAGGCACTGAGCTAATTTTTCCAACTCTTGGCGTTTTTGTTTTCTTCATCTCAAGTTAAATCTTCAGATCTCTGCACTGCATGTTCCTTTCTGTTCTTCTGACCTTTTCTTAGTATCCACCAAGAGACAACTTCTGCTCTTCACGATTTTTCAGCCAGCTTTCAGTAGTTGCTGTAATGTTTTCTGTGTTATATGTACGTAGTGAGAGTGCAATTAGATGTGAATTACAACCTGCATATCCACACACCTCAAAAAACACCCTTCACCCCTTGCACACACTGGACAGACTGAACGGAAATACCTATTAGAAATGTGCGTGTCATCAGGGAACCACAGGTGAGAGATCTTTCTCATATATCTCAGAGAAAATTTTAGAGCTAGATAGGCCAAAGGATGAAAAGCCTCAAAGCTTTTTGTCCTGTGAGTGACTCTCCTTCTCGTGAGTGAGTTGCCTCTTCCTGCATTCACAGGGCGAGTGCTGCATTCCCTTCTAGGGGACCAACCCTTCTGCATCCCAGAGGTGCCTTGGAGCAGACACACACAGCAGCACAATTTGTGCAGGGTATACTTGCAGTTGTTAAAGGAGTTCTAGGGACAGCGGTTTGAACAACCGGGCTTTCACTTGTCCAAAGAAAGCTGTCAGGGGCAGATGGAGTTTGTTTGTTCTTTAAGCATTTTGACACCTTTTACGTATCTGTGGCCAAGCAGGTGCCTTGAAGGATACACAAGTGCTTCTTCAAAAGTATCTACTTATTGCAGGGAGACACTCTATACCTATAGAAACACACACTGACTTCCTTTTTTTTTAATGTTTGGTTAAACATAACAGGAAAGAAAGGTTTACTTCAAAGCCACAATTTAGCAGGAGACTAAATAGTGCGATATTTTTTTATAGTTTGCTTTCCGGTCCAAGGCAGCTTTGGAAGGGCTGCCAGTGAAAGATGCTGAGATTTTTCTGCTAGTGAAAGAAAAGCTTGAGTGAGACACCAGATGAATATGTCCTATGCAAAATGAGACTTTGTGTAAGGGCAGAATGAGAATAAAATGGAAAGATGAAGATGGGAAGAAGGAAGGAAAAGGAGATCTTTGCTTGATTTTAGTTTTCCAAGAGGCTTCCAGAGATGGGTTCTTCACCACCGGGGTGCTGTATGCCTTTTGTGCTGAAGGCTACCAGCTCCTTAGACATCCAAGGCTAGTGGCACCGACATGATGACAGATTTCTCCATCAGTCTGTAGAGTTTACAGGCTGTACCCCATGTGGGAGAAGAGTGTTGTCACTGCAGTTTTAAGGGATTTCATCAGACCCAAGCTGTGTTTGAGGCATCACTGCATGAATGAATCACTCTGCTGTTTGATACAGTGACCCGGCCGAGGAAGTCTGCATTGCCTCAGATAGCTTCGTGGACTCAGCCATGCTGAGCCCTGCCTTGATAAGTGACAGATGCTGCTGGGCTAGTGTGGTGTGTTGCTGCTTACAGTGTTGAATTTCCTGCAGAACTGGCCTGTCAGAGGATCAGGATCATCTTTCCTGGCTCATTTATCAGGCTCAGACTCCTTCTGTAATGGCATAATTAACAGAATCATAAGCTTCTGCTTCCTATTAGCTGCACATGCCAAAAACTGTCATTTCAAGAGGAGACCCTGTGTTCGTGTGGCTTTTAGGCGGTCCAGCACCAGCACTGTTGGGGCACCCCCTCAGCAGGGCCAAGAGAGAGATGTTAAAGACTGCACCCTGCCCTTCCAAAGGACAGAGCATTGGCCCTGCATATGGTCCTGGCTGGTAGAACCACACTTGCTTTTCCTGCAACTCATCTCTCAAGCCCTTAAGCCATCCAGCCCTCTGCCTGCTTCTCTGGTGCCTGCAGTCACTGTGCAGGTGTACACTGTTGCTAATGCCCAGCAGTGACTTGAATACCTCCCCTGAACTTGACACCCATTTTCTGTTGAAGCGTGTGGGTGGCCTGCAGTTTACCTGATCGCAGCAAGGACTATTTAAAATGGCAAGATGCAAGCCTGTGGAAAAGATGAACTGTCCTTTCAAAATACTGCTTTTACTCCTGTATTGATGGCTTATGTTCGGAGTATGCAGAGTCCCTGTCCTGCCAGCCTGATAGGGTGCACTGTTGGTTAACAGCGGTGCCCACCGTCGCGCACGGCTGATTCAGCAATCTGAGCTGCAGTGGCACAGCAGCAGTCAGGCTACTGGCCCATCTAGTCCAATAGCCAGCCGGTGACTGCAGACAGTGCCAGAGGCTCCTGAAGGAGGTCTTAGAGGCCTGGTGGCAGGCAGGTAGGTAGGAGACAGTTTTCCCTCAGAGAGAGCTTTCTCGTATTACCAGTAACTAAGAGTATGTGTTGCATAGTAACACAGCAGGGTTTCTTGGTCCTGCCCCCTTCCCATGGCAGCTCAGCTTCTTCTAGTGCATATTAAAAGTAAAAAACTCATTTGTGCTCATGTGGCTAGCACAAAGTTAACTAGCATGTAGTCTGAGTGTAAGTACTGAATTGTGTTCTAACAACTAGCTGTGAAACCTGGTTACTTGCTCATGACTCTGGACTTCGTGTAAAAAAAAAAAAAAAATCAACACCAAAAGACCAAACAAAGGAAAAAAAAAAAAAGAAAAAAAAAATCAACCCCCCCCAAAAATCAGATGGTTCTTAGCACCATTTTATAGCTCTACCATTCTTTACACCCATTATATGTTTTATTTAATTTCTGGTCCATGAAGTATACTGTAATTGGAAAAGCATCCCACAAATAGAAGGCCAACTTGGCAAAATAATTGATTTGATAATCAAGTTCAGAATAGCTCACGTGACCCCTGAAGCTTGTAATCCTTAACGTATTTGTCTTTAGAGCACCCTGTGAGGCAAGGCAGTGCTTTGGGAATGATGCACTGCAGAGAACTAAGACAAGGAGGGATTCAAGTCTAATGAAGGAGAGGCATCAGACCTTTCAAACTGCTCCTAGTGATGTAGCTGATAGATCATTCTTCTGCTCCTTTGAGTTCTTTTAAGAAATGGTTCTCTAGTAGACCGGTAACACACTAGCAGTATTGAGAGGGGTCAGTCCTGGTAATATGAAAGTTGAATGGCAAACAGCAAGTTTATTTTTGAATATTCATTTCAACTCTGTATTTTGTATGACACGAGTGCAATTTTTTTGTTTGTTTATGTTTTTACTTTTGGAGCTATTTAGAGAAGTATCATGATAAAATACATTTGAAATAAGATAATTTGCACGATACAGATAAATAATCTGAAGGCTGTATTCCGTCAACTCCAGCCCATCACAGATGGGGTCTTCTGTAGTCCTGTTCACTTTCCTGCTCCTGGCATGGAACCGAACAGCTTCATGTAGGTGGGGTAGCTGGATCTAGCCTCTTGGGGAAAAAAAGTCATGAAAAGGGAACAGTGGGGAAAAACGCACTGGTTATTGCTTACATTTCAGGGTGTCACTTGGGTGGCTCGAAGGTACCAGTGAGCAGCTTGACCTGTGGAGGGGGGAGACAGGCGGTGCTGTCCACACAGCTCGGCGCTCTGGGCTCTCTACGCCGCAGAGCTCGGACAGCATCTGCAGTGATGTGTGGCTGCTGTATGTGCCATGTCTTTAGCCTTGCTTTGAAGAGGGAAACGCCTGTAGAGGTCCCTATTGTACTATAAATTCAGGAAATCATCTGCGACTCCTTTATGACCCAGTTAACAAACAAAAAAAAAAAAAGTAGTGCAGGTACTCATTAAAAGCTCAGTGTAAGTAGTCATTAATTATCATGACAGCAATAAAATGTTACATTATGACTAGACTTTGGGCTGCTCCTACTCTCGCTGAATTGAATGGGAGCAGGAGCAGGCTCTGTAAGAAGCAGCTCTTAGCAAGCTGAAGGAGGTGTCACAGCACACAGCCCACGCCACTGATGTGTGCAGGAGAGGAAAATGTTTATTGTGCTATTGCTGGGAGCACTGTCAGGCTGGGCCCCTTTTGCTGGTGGCAGTGCAGATGGGAAGAGCACGCTGTCGCAGGGCTGCTGCAGTTAGAAGCTGGGGCAGAGACAGGTTTTGGCTGAGAGCAGTGTTTGATGGAAGCCCATTGGCTGTGTGGGCAGTCAGACCCTAAATGAAAGGTTAGGTAACTGCAGGGAGAAGAGGGGAATCCTTCTTTTCTAGGAGGCCAGACGAAATGATACAAGAGGAAATAGAGGCACAGAAAAAGGCAAGTTGCATGAAGCCAAACATTGGCATAGACCCTGGGCCTTTGGCCTACCCATCCAGGACCTAGGTGAATGCTTTTCTCCTGTTTGCAGACCAACATTTTGCCTTTGTATTGAAGGGAAACACCAGAGGCCTAACACCTGGAAAGAGAGACGAGTTGTCATATGCTGGATTTGGTGGACATCTTATTAGTGGAAGGATAGAAATCGGTAGCACCACAGTCTAAAACTTTTTGTCCATCTTGCTGGGGCTTCAAACTGAAAAGTGTTCACATAGAAAAGGAGGTAAAAATGTAAGCAGTCAGTGACACACAGAAATAAGCTTAATACTCAGAAGACTTCTGTCATGGAGTTTTCCACGTAGCTGATTTTTAAAGATTAGTTACAGTCTACATCCTGCTATTAAGTCCACATAGAAGCAACAGTTCCCATCACAGCATAGAGACTGTCGTATAGCTGGTCCAAACTAATTGTTAGGCTGTTTGAGTCAAAATTCCAATTTTATTTTTTTTAAATAGAAACAAAAATGGTCTGTGAGACAAAATTTCACAGACAGATTGGGGTGTTTTAAATGCTCATTCTCTGGAGCAGTTCAAGATGAGCTGAACTTGGGAGTTAAGGCATGTCTTGCATAGCCATTTTGGGGGAGTTTTCTATCTGATGGTTTGGGGGGGGGGGTTGCCCTGTTGTGTAAATAAGGCCATCTGTGAAATTGAGCTGTAGCTCTCAGCTCAGTTTTCCAACTCATAAAAAGATCAGATATCCAAATGTGAGGTTTTGATTCCATGTCTAATATTGAGTCACTTACACTAATTTTTCATTAAAACTTCATGTTGAATTTATCCGGTGAATGTTGTCAAGCAGGTTTCCTTGTAAAGATCCCCTAGTGACACTTCTTTTTAACAGTACTTTTAATAAGCAAAAGTTATCGTTTAATAAGCAAAAATACAGTTTGCTATACTTGGAATACCTGCTATTGAAATGTCAAGCATGGTGGTTGATTAGAGACAGGCTGATGGGAGGCCTGCATGGGAAGGCTTCCTAGGCTGGGCCCCTCAGTGAGCCCAGGGCTAAGTGCCCATACCGGCTGCCTCGGACCTGAACTGTTCCTGGAAGCCCTGTCTTCGGAGCTGCTGCTGTTTGCAGATTGGTCTGTCATCACCTTCCCAAGGCAAGGAGCCATGTTATGATACAGGAATAGGAGCATCAGAGCTTTGTCACTGTCGCTTTATGAAATATGTTTTTCTCTTTGGTTTTTTTTTGGATTGTTGTTTGGGTTTTTTTGTTTGTTGGGGCAGGGAGAGAGCAGGAATGCAAGAATCATTCCTCTGTCTTCCATGTTCAAGACTGGTGTGAGAAGATGCCTCTCCATAGCTCCATCTGATGCATAGCATAACCAGGGTTGAGACATGGGAGGACAGGGCCGTGCTTCGCAAGAGCATCTGACTAACTCGGGCAAAGCTAATTTGTTTGACATCATCTCTATACGTAAGACTAAGTCTGTTTGTGTCCCATTGTTATGGCAAATCCCATGATGAACTGCATTTTATTGACTTCTGCCGGCTGTTTGACAGAGCCCAGCAGCAGATTTGAATATGAGCACTGTTCCAGGAAAGCTGTTTTAATAGATACTAATTCAGAATTTAAAGGTTGCAGGGCAACAGGTGGGCCTCCCAGGTAGCTGTGACAGCCTTACCTAACAGGGAGGACCTGGGTGCATCCCTTGGGTGCATCCCTGCTTTTTGAGCCAGGCAGCCCAGTAGCCCCTGTGGGGTGGGTGAAGGAGGCTGAGATGGGTCAGCGGCAGGCAGGTACAGCAAGGGGGGACCTCGAGTTACAGGCCACGTCATGTAGCCAGAACATTCAGTGTTTGGCTAACAGTTTTGTGCCTTTTCCCCTCTTTTCAAGGGTACAGCATCACATGTTCATGTGTTTTTACTGAAGGGATGCTACTCAAGGAGAGAAAGACGATGAGGGCCCCCAGGTGGTCTTTACTTCTGTGTTTGTGGTTTTTGGAAACTCTCAGCATCTAAAATGTTGGTTCACTTGGGTACGAGTCTTTGTAGCTCTGGCACAACTCTTGGTGGACTTTGTTAGCTTAATCTGCCTTCTGGCTGTAGCAGTGCAAGCACTGAAGCTCAGCAAGCTGGGATTTATCATTGTTGGTGTGGGCAGGGAGGCAGATGCTGCATCTGGACTTCTGAATGGGATGCTGTGTCTGCCCTGTCCAGGGGAACAGGACTTAGGTATGAGTTGGTCCTGACCTTGGCTACTTTCAATGGATACAGCCTGTATTTTACAGATCCTCTAAAACAAGTCAAAAGAAACAGGGTGGAGTATTTCAAAGCGCAACCAAGTTCAAAACCCAGAACTACGTTTGGGGACAGCTGACTAGTTGCACTAATTTCAGAGTAAGATCTGTGGAAAGTCACAGGAGATGCATATCTCACTGCAGCGGCCTCTGGTTCAGCTCTGTTCTGATTTCCTGCTGATGCTTTTACAGCCAAACAACTCATCATAGCCCCTACACGAGTGTGAGCAAGCACAGCTTGGCCTAAACAACAGCCTAAAACAACAGCTCTTAACTTTCCCTTCTAGACGTGTGGACTTCTGTTCGGTGAACACAAGTGCCAGCAGTAGAGCTGGCTTTGGTAGTTGTGTTGAAAACCCCTTTTCAGTACTTCATGGAGTGGTGGTGTAAAGGATCAGAGTGAACAAAGGCACGTCTGATTTCCCTCTGGTCGCCAGGCAGGGAGAAGGTTAGCACTGTGTGCTCTCATAACTGGGTATCACTTGCATGAGCTCCCCTGTGTGTCCAACAGCTAGAAGTTAAAGCATGGTGTTTTCTCATTTTCCAGCTAAAATTAATTTTATAGCTCTAACTGCCCATGGATGACTTCTGTGATGTCTGCTGCCACTCCAGAGCAGTGCCCGTTCTGGCTGTCAGGGTTTACCAGAGTGAACAGGCACACTGAAATGCAGGCTGGACTCCCAGGGAGCTGAAAGACAGGAAATTCTCTTGCCCCTTCCCCTTGCCTTGTTAATACTTCTCTTGACTTTTTTGGTGTCACGTTCAGAACTTCTCATGTGCAAATACATTTGAAAGTTCTCCTCCCTCAGGCACTTCTCAACCATCTCCTGAATTCCTTCTTCCATCACTAACTACTTTTTCCATCAAGATTACAGCAGCAGAAAAATGTTCTCTATGGGCTAGGTGCTCCCCTGTGCGTGAAAAATACCTGCAGGAGCCAAGAAACACCAGGAGTTTCTTCCTGGTTGTTCCCAAGAAGAATGGGGAGTGACGCAGGCAAAGAGCATGACCTTACAATGACACACACACACACACGCGCGCGCTCTGAGGCCTGCACAGAAATTGCCATGACCTCAGTGAAACAATAAGGACTTTGGGGGTAGTCAGACTGTGTTTTGTGGCCCCTCACATTCCTCCATGACCCTTTCCTTCAGGTCCGGTGTGGTTCCTTTCAGGTTCACACTTCCTGGCCTACCCAAAGTAGGTGTTCCCTCTTTCCAACAAGAGCAAGTGCCTCATTGCAGAAGGAAAACACCTAGGTTTACTCTGTATAGAGACTATTCCCTTGAATGAGGCACAGGGGAGAGCTGCAAAGGAGCATTTTAACCCCGGTTCTGAGCTCTGCCAAGGCTGAGCTTCACCCTACTGAGAAGAAACTTCAAGAGCTCTCATGGGGTTGAGAGGAAAGACGGAGCCTCCTGTCCTTGGTTTCCTCTCCTGTTACTCAGGGCAAGTTTGCACTGGTTTGACCTCCTCAGCTTTTTTAGGCAGAGGGAAGATACCCCTGGGTGGACTACCACTATAAACTTGTCCAGTGACCTCTTGTAATTCAGGCACTGTATTTGAACTGCAGCCTCGAAGGTCTTTAAAGAGGTATTTAAGGTGATTCCAAGTAGGGTTAGTTTGATTGCTTTTTGAACCATTAAGTGTTTGTGAAGTGTAGCAATTGAGTGCCTCCACTGACAGTTTTTAAAGAGAATTAATTGTCAGGTAGGGATCTGTGATTTTCCCAGTTGGCTCTGGCCTAACTCCAAGCCCTTCTGCAGGCAATAGAAAAAGATCTGTTGACCAGTGGATGTAGACTTAGGCAACTTGCACCATCTGGGTCCTTGGGTATTTAGGCTCTTATGTCTTTTGAGGGCACGAGATTGTTAAAAGTTCCCATTTGTTTGTGGTGTTTTCTTTAGAAGTACCATGATACACAAGAAGAGCAAGGTAAGAGATACAAACCAATGTGCTATTTAGTAACAGCAACTCATAAATGTACTCATGCTTTGAATATTACTAGAAAGTTAAAAAACCCTGGGTGGAGGAGAAAACTCAAGGGCGCTTAACTATGGGCACAGTTTGGATAGAGGCTGTTGAAATACTGGGCATTTTTCCATCAACTTCATTAATTAGATTTTGGAGCAGACTGCAAGTGGCACATGGTTCCTGTGACACAGGAGAGTCTGGGAGCGTCCGTCACATTTGGAGCCCTGCCTCTCCTGTTCATGCAGATGATACTGTAGCAGATTTAATGTCATCTGTTTTGTTCAGTGATTTGTGAAGTAACACCTGACAGCAGTGGAGATTAGACTTTGTGTATTTTCATAGGATTTTTGTATCAGCCGTCCGTCGGTTCTTCATGCCTACCACAGGACTTCTAGACACTGTGTGCATTACCCATAAGTGAATAAAAGTGAGAGTGCTTCTCTCCTTCAATACAAATAGTTGTATCTGTTTGTATTGCAAGAAAACATGACACAGATAGGAGCTACATTACCTTTGTCTGCAAAACATTTGATTACATTTGTTTAAGTATGTGCATTGCTTCACTGTTTGCTCATTCTTCCCTCAGCACTTTAGCGGTGTGCTGCCACATGCACAATTTCTGTTATGCTAAATGGTATTTTCTGTGATCAATGTCTACTTGACATCGAAATACATAGTCAAATGTTGACAAAGGTGCCCTGTGTATATGATAGAAAATCTCTCACTTGAATGTGCATACCATACCTTGTGCTGATGCAGAGCTGAGGCTCTGACTTGGATTTCAGGTGTTTTGGTAATGTTGAACAGGAACTTTGTCTTTTATTTCTCATAAAAAGAATCTTTGTTAACCTAGAACTCAGGTTCATGCACATCAGTACATGTGCAGAAAGCCCCGTAGAAAACATCCCATTATCCTTGAAAGAACTGTTAGGAATAAGAAAACCAAACCCAAAACCCAGCAATGGCAGGGAGAGTTGGATCCCTTGTGCCCACTGCCATGTCCCTCCTGATCCCTGTGTGAGTGTTTGGAGTGGAGGGTGCTGCTGTGGCGCAGTGGCAGATCTGTATGCAAAATGATGCCAGTCAGGGCCTGCACAGTCTTCATATACCGCGCAACATCTTTAGTCCAGTCCTTTCCACACTTTAAATTCCCCCAAGGCTGATGGTCCTATGCAGAGTGCAAAAATGCTAATTAATAGAAAATTACAGTTCCATACGATTTAACACAAGTCACTGCCAAAGAAATCTAAGCAAAGGTTTCCACATGTCACAAGGAGTTAAGATGCTGTAGAAGAAGCTCGCACCTGCTTCAGGAGGCCTGTTATTTCAGAAGCTTGAACTCAAACGGGTCCATCTCAAACTGTAGCCCTTCTAAATCTGCCTGTTTTGTACCTGGGTACAAGACATGAGCTAAGGGTGAGGAAGTGGCAAAGGGAAAGCAGCACGGAGTGATTCACTGAGACCGCTGTGCAGGGGTTCTGACACATCTTCACTTGCAGGGTAAATAGGCCCAAGGGACAAAGTGGTCATCCCATTTGAATATAATGACCTGACAGTTTTGCCACTCTTAATTTTCTCTCCTTGGTCAGCTTTAAACTTCCGTCCCCTGGAAGCATGGATCTGGGCTGTAGCATCAGGAAAAGTAGTCCTGGAGGCAGCCAGTCCTACTTGGACTCATGGTTCTTGGAGGAAGCGATCTGTGAGGAGGGCAGGAGTCTGGAGTCCAGGAGACACAGGTACAAAGCTCTGCCTCCGCACGTGCACTTGGCAGGTTGCAGGTGCTGTGTGTGCCTCGGTGCTACCGTCAGAGAAGCATCAAAATCACAGTATTACAGACTGCGAAGGTAGTTTGTAGGTGCTGGGGGATGGTAAACCAATGCACTTAGTCCTTAAGTAACACTCTGCATCTGTAGATTCAAAACCGGTCACACCCTCAGCACGCACTGTGGGGGAAGCAGGTGGCATTTCAGCAGCCAGCTGAAATTATACAGAGACTCCCCTGGCCCGTCATGCTGCAGAGAAAGTGAAGGCTTCTCTGTCTCTTCTGCTGCTTGCCTCCTTCAGTCCTGCCATCCATAAACAACTGGGGGGAGTTTCGGGTGTTACTAATCTTAATAAAGAGGTTTTAGGAATGTTTTGCATCTCTGGAGCTTTCATAACATATACTAATAGAGGCTTTTGGCAAGAGCGGTAAAGCAAATTGCTCCCACCCTCCCTTAGCGTGTGGTAAGCAGTGTCTGTCCCAGAAGCCACGTGACTGAAAGTCTGAATGCAGCACAGCACCTGGTAAGCTGGGAATGCCCTTGTGAAACACCCAGGCCTCTGCCCTCCCACACTCACTTTGCCCATCGTCTCTGCCAACTCGGGCAGTTCTCGCGAGCCACTTATTTTTGAGCTGTTGGGGAATGTTCTGTCATTGGGGTTGCACATCCTTGCACCATGGTTGCCTCTAAGCCTTAATTTCCTTTGCTTTTGAGGGCTTGCATCAGACTTTCAGGCACTATTGAACAGAGACATTTGTGTTTATCTGCCTACCTGGTAAGGGAAAGGTAAGCAATTTTTATGCTTTAAATGCCTCTCATATCTCCCCAAGGGCATTTAGTTATCTCATTCCTTAGCTGTCAATACACTTGTAGTGGGTGTAAGTTACAGTTTCCTCCTGTTTTATCTGCAGAGCAATCTGAAGCCCAGCCGAGTTCATAGTGCAACACAAAGTGATATACCTTAGAACAAGTAGCATCAGGACTTCACACCACTGCCTTTTCCTCATGGTTTTAAATTAAATTAAAAGTTTGTGATCATTTCATTTAGAGCGAACACCTTTTTCAGATGCGGCTGTCTGTGTTCAGGCAGTGCTAGTGAAGTGTTGGAGGTGTGAAAGACAGACCCAATGTTTCCCACTTGTGGTGGCAGCAGGAATGACAGCAGAGCAGTCCGTGCCCCAACATGGGTACAGCCAGGGCAGCTCTTGCAGCCAGAGCACTGGCTGCTCTCAGGTGCTCAGAGTATGTCAGGAGCAAATTCTCCTGCCCTCCCAACCCTCTCACCCAAGTGACTGGCCTAGGAGGACAGGAGAAGAAAATGGGGTCCTGCCTAAGAAGGTTTTGGTGACACCAGCCCCACTGAGGTTATTCTGGGAATCAGACTGAACTGAGACATGTTGTAGTTTTTTCTTGCTTGTGACACATCATATGACTCACATCCTTTTTACCAAAGTCTGGGGAAAGTGTATGCAGGGAGGAGGAGATGCAGAATGGGAAGGTCATGAAATGCAGTAAAGCTTATCTGAGTCTCCCTAGAGTTTCGTGCAGGATGAACAAGCCTTGCACATCCAGTGCCTTTTTCTGATATACATTGAGGACTATTGGGAAGAAAAATCACTGCAAGACCACCAGGTGCCAGGGTGTATTTTGTGCCAGGCAATCTTGGCTTTACGCGCTGCCGTTCTGCCTGGTTGCTGTTCAGAATTGTGATCAGACAAAGCAGCAAACAAGGGTGATGTCTGTAGGTGATTGGAACTGGGAGATGGCAGAGGATGGAAGAGTGCTGGTGACAGAGATGTGGCTGGGAGATGAGCTACGCAGCATCCAAATGGGAGCAAGGGGAAGAGAAAGGCTGGGTCTTAAAGTGGGCCAATGAGGGTTGCTGCATGCCACTAGAGGAATGGGACCGATTTGCAAGAGAAGAGCCTGGAAGGCTGGGAAGTACAATACAGCCACAATTCAGGGATTGAGACGCAACTCAGGATCTGTCATGGCCCTTCTGAAGAGGCCAGGATAGTAAGCTGTGCCCTCTTTACCTGCAGAACTATCTTCAGTGAGGACAGTAACCTGGTCTGGCTCAGACAGACAGCGCTTACTGCAGTGCACCGCTTGCCTGAGTATCCCTGTGTGGGAGATAGCATCTTGGATGGGAGGCTGTGTATGTTTTCTGGTCAAGGGTGCACCGGAGTGAAGGATGTGGGAGCTGGGGGAAACCAGCTTGACACACAGAAGTCCACGGGGACAGTGTTTGGATCTGTGTAATGTGCAGACCCCAGGGGTTTGGTACCTCTTAACTTCAGAGGGCACCAGGTAGCGGAGACAAGATCTCTTTTAGATGCAACGTATTTGGAGAGAGCAACAATACACATTCCTATGAAGACTCTCTCAGCTGCCCAGATAGTATTTAAGGTTGGGTCAGCTATTATTTCTTGAATGCTTTACTAGCATCTGACCTTATGCTAGCACAGCTGTAGCCTGAAGTTACACTTCTTCGAGGTACTTGGTTTGGAGCTTAGGACGTACTGTCAGACTACTTTGCCCCACTGTGCTCCCAGTAGTGGGCTATTCACATGCGGATTAGGAGTGATACAACTTGGTGCTTCTGCTTCTCCTACACTAAGGGTTCTTACTGTTCCAAGCCAGAGCTTTCCTCTGTACAAATGCAGCTCCTCCATTCCCCCAGAGCTAGCTACATAGTCAGTTAAATATGTGCCAACTGGGGTAGATGTGCGTTGCTTTTAATACAGTATTTAGCTTAGAAGGAACTTTCGGCCTTTCTCTAACCCTGCTGAGAGGATATGTCCTGAGGTAGACTGTTAAAACATAAGAGATTAGTGTTATGACTTCTTTTTGAAAGGTATTTTTAGATTTACTGCAGAAAATACGCAGGATTAGGGATAGGTATCTAATTATTAACCATGAAAACACCCTATTTTGCAACCCTGAAAGAATTCCTAAGAAAAATCTAGATTTTTCTGTGTGTACGCGTGTGCATCATCATCTTCATTCAGCTGGAGTGGAAGTTTATATGAAGGAGGAAGAAAACCTACCTCTAGGTAAGATGTAGCAACAAGAACTCCCAGCAGTGTCATTCCCTTTCTCTAGCTGAATGAGCACTACACAGCATAGGCCTATGGAAATGATGACAACAATAATGTATTATTCCTTTGATTTATAGTTCCCCAGCAAATGCTCTGAAGATGTACCAACTCCACCAACAATTTGTAGAAGCCATGAAGTAGAAGCATTGGTACGTACAATTAGAGACAATTGTTGTGGTCAGTAGCAGTTGTGCAATGTTACCAATGCAATTTTAGCAGAAGGACACTTAGTGCAGATGGGCATACATCAAACTGGTCTATGGTGAGCTTGCAAGTACAGCTGAGGGATTTCCAACAGGATATTTACAAAATGTTAATATCCTGTTTATGACAACCATATAAACAATTGAAGGCCATTGCCCAAAGCCTCCGATGTTATTTAAATCCATGTAAAAGACAATTCCAACATTTGCAATGCAATCAGCAGCTCTGATGATACGTGACGTGGTAATCAAAGTTACCCCAATGTAATCAAATCCACGCAGCAGTGCGCAGTGCGTTGCATAAGAATGCTCTAGGGGGGAGTGGGAAGGGACTTGCAGAGAGACCTCTTTTTTAGTTTAGTTAACCTATGCACCCTTTAAAGTGGTTGATTTGGAAAGATTGGTAATTAGCTTTGCATACAGCAGCCCTTCCTGGAAATCTCTCTTCAGGTTCACAAAGGGGAATGTTACAGGACAAAACGGGGGGGAGGGCTGAGAAGCCAGGATGGAGACAAAAGAGTGGGGCCATGTTCTACACGGGGTCTCGTGTCTGGCGTGGTTCACCTAAGACAGGCCATCTCCTATGCTAACTTAATGGTCTTTGTTTCGGTTGATGTCAGGCTGCTTGTGTGCTTGGTTTGGGCAGGGTAGATTAATCTGGGTGTGGAGCTGGAACGTGACTGTGTTATGTATGAAGGGGTGACCTCTGCTGTAGGCATGCTGCAAGCCAGTGGCCAAAAGTGTCTCATCCTGAGCCTCTATTCAGACTCTCACTAAAAAGTAGTTTTCAGGGATGCCTATTTCTTTGAAAGTCCTGTAGAGGGACTGTTGTTATTGAGGACTTTAACTAGATTCAGAGACCTAACTTGTGTTCGGCAGCTTTGACTAATTGACCCTTAACTGTAGCCAAAGACAAAGACCCTGGCTGCAGGAGCACTGATTGAGAGCTGCCAGCCCTAGCCTAGTGCTGTTCTTAATTTAATAACCGACACCAATCTAATTAAAACCCAGCCCTGACCTTTATCCTGTCCCACTTGATTTACACGCATGCGCTCCAAATGTCATAAAGGAAATCTCCTGCATCTCTTAAATAACATCAAGCTGCAGGAACGAGGATGAGGGGGTGGATGTGTAGATACCGCGCAGAGGAGTTATCCGTGGAAGTGTCACAGTCAGCCGACTGGGTGCTGGCACCTCTCCCCCAGGACATCCAGTTGCAAATTCCTCTCCTCGTCCCATCTCCCATGCACACAGCAGGCAACCAGCACCCTTCCCACCCACGGGTGGAGAGTTAGGGACGAGTTCCTCAGGGGTAGGCCTAGCCCTTGGCCTGCCCTTTGGAAAACCCACAACTCCTAGCTGAGAGCAGAGAAACATCCAGGGCCTGAACATGGTTTGTTTTGCTTTTTAGTCAGGGAGGAACCTAGGCTGCACTCCGGAGTCAGTTTGGGGAATGACCAGCTCTGACCAGAAAACTGGGGTCTGTCTCCTTTCCCAGTGGCTGATAGCAGCAGACCTGTATATGTGGGGGGACAAATCAGTGTTGCAGGCAGATGGTTTCCACCTGTGCTGGAGCTATCTCTGCCCTTCTCAGCCCCACAGAGGCCTACAGTCTTTCACCAGGTCTCCCTGTTGGTACCCAGTCTGTGGCTTCTTCAGTCTGTGACCTAGGAACGGTGTCTAGGGAGGCCTGGATACCTGAGGTGACGTTCAGACCATGGATGGGAGGAGAAGGTGACTAGAAGATGATTTCACATAGTCTTGGCCGTTCCCAAACCAAACCCCAGAGGTTTCCGCATACCATGTGACTCACGGTTGGCTCTCAGGAGTTGGTGGTACTAAATTCACTGGAGATCAAAAGAATATGGAATTTTATAGCAGGTTGGGCCCAGACAGGAAAAACACAGAATGGGAACATCTTGTTGACTGTTGCAACCCTGAAGTATTCCTGATGAGCTTCTATCCCTTCTAGCTGCATCTCAGCAGACGGGGAGTGTGATACCCAAGCACCTGGCTCCAAGCTGATGTGAGCCGGAGGGAGTGCCGTGGCTTATTTTTGTGCAAGTGGTAGGGGAGCTTCATTGCGGACCAGAGTGTCCTAGTTTGAAATATGACTGTAGAGATGAATTGGGCACCCGTGTTTATAGGTTCCCTGGGGCAGGCTGTCTCATCACCTCTGCATGACAACAGCCAGCACAATAAAGGCCTGATCCTGACAGCCTTTTTTTTGGTCAGTTCAGTAATAGTAATGATTAACAGTAATTATCAGAACAGTAATGGGAGTGTCCCATAATGCTAGTGGATGGGGGAATTCCACTAAGTGCATCTGCTCCCATGCCTAGCGCTAGTTACCAGGCCAAACAAATACACCATGGATCCATGCCTCTTTCTTAGATTTGGTTTCTGGAACATGTGCTGGCTAAGCTGGTTTCAGGTGAATTGCTGTTTACTCCATTATCCCTAATGACACATTCCTTGTGTCGAGGATGCCCCAGCTCCCCGTGCATCTGGCTGGCATGCAGGTGACAGTCACCACTAAATTGCAGCCAAAATGCGGAGTCCACGGGTGGCTGAAGTCCCAGTGGCAGTGCAGGGCTGGGAGCACAGAGCAAGTCACAGCTCAGTGCTGCTGCTTGCAATTCAGCAGGCCAAGCACAGGAACTCTGAGGCTGGGCAATAGCCCACAAGTCAGCCTTTCCTCTGCCCTTCCACTGCTTTTATCCCCTCACCCCCTGCAGCAGTGATAGGGGCAAAATATGCTTGGCAAAGGGATTGAAGCCAGTGTAGCTGAGGCCTGGGTAACCGCTCAGCTAGTGGCCAAGGTTCCCAAATGGAGCAGGTGAGAGGCAGAGGGCTCTGCTTATCCCACGCGTGCATCATGTACTGTTTAGGCTTTAGGGCAGGCCTCAGAGGCTGGCCCTGCTCCAGCCCGAGGCAGGTCTTCATTCCCTCTGACAGTGGCACTCATATACAGAGTGTTTTCCTCTCATCTTCCCCCATGCTAGCGCCAGCTGTCCAGGTGGAAGACACAGGAAAGGGCTGGAAGGTGGCAGTGGAGAGCCCGTAGGCAGGACTGACTGCTGTGGGGAAAAGCCCAAGAGGAGCCGGTGAGTGCCCGCTCAGTCACACCAGTCTCCACGGTGGTGGCTCCTGCTGTCATTTCACCGCCCCAAGATGGATGTTGTTCTCAGGGCAGAGCTGTTGAGCAGATGGGCCACACGGTCAGGTGCCGGGAACACAAAATTTCAGTCGTGTTGGCCACTGGCCAGGGGTCTAAATGCTGTACACAGGGTGAACCGTCAGAGAGGGCAGTCTTCATATTGGCACGTGTTCTGTCTCTCAGTGGTTAACTCTCATCTCCGTGGGGAATGAAAAGTGCTGTTGAAGAGATGACTTTATGGACTCGAAAGAGGTGCCGATGGACAGACCAGCACGCAGGACTGATGGGTAAGGGGGTGGTGTTCTTCTTCCAGTTTGCTTGCAACCTGCTGCATGCTGCGGGGAAAAACACTTTCCTTCCACCTCGGTCCTTCTTAAATCACTTGGAGCAAGGAGAAACAATTACCAAATATATGGGCAATGATACGGGAGGGATTTGGTTTGATGACACCCTTTACAAGGGTACAAATAAAACACTTGCACAGGTTTGTCTAGCAGCAAGTAAAGGCAGAAGCCATGAAAAGACTCCACAAAAGAAAAAAAGCTACAAACCCCTCGGAGGCTAAGAAATCACTTAGCATGGAGCACTGAGCTGTAATTAAGAAAGGGAAAACACCATCTGAGCATTATGAAGCTCTTCCTGCCAGTGAGATGCGTTGAGCCATTCAGGAGTTGCCCAGGGGAGAGTAATGGAAATGTCATACAAGCCAGAAGAATGAAGCTTCGAAAACTGCCCTGTAGGGAGCAATCCAGCATGAACTGGCAGATCTGTCCACCTTTTCACCTCCATCTTCTGAGACACATTGAGATGGGTGGGAATTAGCTGTTTGGCATTTGTTTTCTTTATTTTTTTAAATTGCTAGTTGATGCTGACCCAAAAAGTTGGCTAAGAAATCAGTGGATTCGGGAGATTGTTGTTGTTTTTTTTTTTTTTAAAAACAGCAAAACATCTGTGTTGTCCAGTAGCTTTGACCTCACCCTGCATTTACAGGAAGAGGTATTGGTCGCTTTCAGCCTGGGGGGCAGCGTTTTGAACTCTCTTAGTTTATAGGAAAGCCTGGTTGTTTAAGAACATTTGACCTAATTAATCCCTCACATACATGGTAGATTTGAAGCTGACCTTTATATGGACTAAGTTTGGCTCAAGGTTTTTCCTTACTCCATTTCATCCAGATCTCATCCACATTTCCCAGTTAAATATATTCCCTTTTTAGGGCATTTGTGCTCACATGTGGGCCCCATGCTTTTTACCACTTAGGATTTTCCTACTTAATTTTCTGTAGTTCAAATGAAAATGCTGTCAAGAGAGCTGCACTCCAATTAGCTGTCTGATCTTTTGAAAATATTTCATGAGGATCTCTCATGCTGTGCAATGAAAACTTGCTGTATATAAAAATTTGTTTTACACATACTGACGTATGCACTTGTTCTCTTTTCAAAAATGCTGGACAATTTTTCCCAAGAATTTATGAAAATGCTGCTTTTTGTTACTTTGTGTGTATATGTAACAGTGCCAAGTGCTTCAGTGCAAGACTAGGAATGATTTTCTTCCAGTTTCAAAATGTTTTCTGACAAAAGAATGTTGATTTTGCAAATAGGCCTTATTCTCGACAGACAAAAACAATGCAGATCCATCCCCACAACATCAAGGCATAAAACTGGGTGCAAGTCCTACAGAGAGCAGCTAAAGTAAGTGATACAGTCACTTGTCATGTATGGTTTTAGTCATATAAAAACACATACATAAAGTGGCAGTTCATTGCTATGAATGTATGTATTCTTCTACAACAAATTACCACGAGAAAAAGTATTTTCAAGCACATAAAAATGTACGTTTAACCTGCATTTTTTCCTCTCTAAAGGGTATGCTGTTCATAGAAAATCCTCTGTGTCATCCATGATAGATAAACTAATAGACAAAGCTCAACCCATAGCCTTGAAGTTATCACTGTTACAAATCTGCTGTCCGAAAAGAAAATAGGTGAATACCTGTGACACTGAAAGATGATTAAGCCCAACGTGGACTTGCGTTGAGCTGAGGTACTTTGTAAATAGAGGTTTTCTTTAGAGGTGGTTATCAAGCCATTGCTAGGTAATAAAAGCAAGTAAGTCTTTTGCACAAGTTCTTACGGTGTTTCCTCATATACCTGTTAAATTTGTCAAGAAGACAATGCTGAAATGTCAGAGCACTCGGGGGGCTACTCGCTGCTCTGATGCCAAGTGGCATAGATCTGTCATTGCCTTGACTTGGGCGTGCCCGTTCACCCCAGCCAAGATTGAGGCCACTAGCTGAAATGCACCCGTGGTGCTCTGTTGCCCAATCAGTGCTACCTCTCAGCATTGTATAGACATGCCACTCCGTACTCAGATCTGTGGGATACAATGGATCTACTTCACCGGGAACCTATCGGTGCAGGAAGGCACTGCTCTGTGTGAATAGCCTCTTGGAAAATTGGCTTTTAAGCTCATTCAAAGAGGCAGCCTCCAAGTGGAGGAAAGGATGGTGAAAGCCACAAGCGGCGGTGCCAGATGTGGAATCACATACCATGAGGCAAAGAACATCACAGAAGGATGAAACAAAGATGTGTGTATCATACTTGTTTTCCATATATTCAAATCTGAAAGAGGAAATTCCAATGAATTGCTCCAATTGTGTCAGTGTTACTTGGTATCTGGATACTGGTACAAGACTATAATTAAATGCTCTCTTTCAGAAGATAAATCATGCAGGAATTTAAGGGTGAAATTAATTACAAAGTAGAAGTTCTACAGTGATGCTGCTTTTTAAGGCATCTGTATGCTTGTACACAGAAATGCTTTACTGATTATTGCAATTCCTTCCCTTACTCATGATCCCTGAAAGAGCAGACAATAAAATCCTTAATAAGGGGGATCAGCCCAAATTAAAGAAGCAACAAAAACAGTCATGTGGCATCAAAAAAAGCTACCACCTGCTAATCTTAAAGTGGTCTCCTGATTATATGAGGGTAAGTCATGACCCTAATGCTAGAGGGGGGAAAAAGGGGACTTAGAAAAAGATTCCAGCTATATCATGTCACACTTAGTTGTGGAGGACAAACTTCTAAATGCTGCTTTCACACTGATCTTCATTACATTTATCTTGCCAACTCTCATACCATTTGAATAATTAACAAATAGTGCTGACATATAGTTCTATAGTAACACATTGCCTTTTTTCCTTTCAGCATCTGCACGCTTCTGTAGATCTAAGAAAATGCTCCTGACATGAGAAGGAGTATGATTTGTAAGTACCAGATTTATTCCAGCTTCCTGAATTAATGTGCCTATTACTTATAATTGCAATCTGAACATGGAGGTGTGGTATATCGTATTCTGCAGTATCTTCTACAATTAACTCTCTTGTATAAATAACTGCGTATAAAATGGAGAAACTATGAATACCTGAGTCACCAGCTATTATAGTGCACCTCACTATCAATACTCAAATTCCTTAGACTGTGAGATAGGCTTATCAGTTCTGCAATAAATTGGTTATCTATCACCTTGCCTTTTTTGATGATGGAAAACGGTAAGGCACAGGAAGAAGTTTTTTGCTTTAAAAGGAAAAGGAATAACCACTGAGCAGCTTGTTTAGATAAAACACACTATATTTGAGGTAAAAGCATACAGTAGCCATCTGGGAGTGGGGATGTACCTCAGCAATCTGGTGATGGGATGTAAGCGCCAAACGAGGCCTTGCCTAACCTAGCGACAGAGTACGTGGGCTTCGGCAAGATGCCTGGAAGGAATTTTTTTAAAAAGTAGCCATAACTAGTTGGACTCCTGTCTCAAGAACCTGAAAGATCTGTTCCTACCAGGAAGGGCCCGTGGTACCAGGCTGTGACGAGGCCAGGGGCTGGAGGGGCAATGGGGCGTAAGCCCGTGCTGACCTTGAGACCGTTGCCGACGATCCAGGTGCCGGGTGAGGTGCTGAAATTCCTGGGGCCTGCGCTGGAACTTAATAGACCATTTCTGCCCTGAGCGCCGAGGCTCCCTGGCAGCAGCACGCGTGTGCTGAGGGTCACCTCACAAATGCCAGGAGGTGGGAGGTTAGGGAAGGCAGCACAGTTCGGGCCGCCCGCCCTGAGGGGTTTTTTGGTTTGGGCGCAGGCAGCTGTGTTGGTGGCCATGCCGTGGCCCAGCGCTCCTTGGTGCGGAGGCCGAGCCCACACGGGCAGCGCTGGGCTCCAGCCACCTCTCACACCATTACGCCTGGCGCTGAGGGAGTGAGGGCGAGCAGGCGGCAGCGGGGCCCAGGCCGCACGGTCAGCCCTGGGCACCCATTGCCCTGGGGGAGTCCCCAAGCATCCGTGCCTTGGCCGAGTTGCTCAGAGGGGACGAGTGCTTTGAGGCCCCCGTGCAATAATACTTGTTAAACTAAGGAAAATCAAATGTATCCGGACAGCAGCCAGCGGCCGGAGGGATCAACCAGCAGCGCGTCCAGCCGGGCTGTCCTCCCGGCCGGGGGGGCCGGCTCCTGCCTGCCGTCGGGGTCCCGCCCCCGGGCTCAGGGGTCCGGGGAGGACGCCCGCCCCTTCCCTTCCCCTCCGGGGATGGCGGGGCCCGGCCCGGCCCGGCCCGGCCCGGCCCGCCGGGGGCGGCGGGGCAGGAAGCGAGGAGGCCGGGGCCGGGCACCTGCCCGAACCCAGCCGGGGTTTCATCACCGGCCGGCGCCGCCCCGCCTCTCCCGCCGGCCCATAAAGGTCCGGGGCGGCGCGGCCGGCACCCACAGCGCTCCCGCCGCTGCCTCCTCTTCTTCCCTTTCTTTCTCCATCTCTTCTTCCCCCGGGGACGCGAGGGCGATGGACGCCGGCTGTCTGCGGGCCCGCAGTCTGCTGCTCTTCCTCGGTGAGTGCCGCCGCCGTGCCCTGCCCGGGGTAGGGGCTGGTGGGGCCCGGAGGGGATCGGGGATTCGTTCTCGAGGTGTTGGAAAATCTCTGGCAAAACGCAAAGCTCAGCTGGCTTTCAGGTGAAGCCGACGTGTTTCTTCTCGGAGGTGAAGTCATGGGCAGGGACGAGTGTACTGGGGTAGGCTGTATGAGTGGAGGAGCAGAGCACGCAGGTCTTACGCTGTTACAGGATGATTTGTTGCTTCTGCAATGCCCAGGGGTGCCCTGTGTCTGAGCAAAGGTGAATGTTCATTCCCCTTTTCCCCAACTCCACTCGCAGCACAGTCTGCTCAAGGCAATTCACTCTGTTCTCTTTCACCTTGCTGCGTCTTGTTTGTAGTCCGGTCCTGCTGCCTTCATTCACCCTGGCCGTGCTCGAGATGAGCTCAGCAGGTGAATCCCCACAGCGGCAGAGACTTCCTGATGGTAACAAAACAAGTTGTGGCCTCCCTCTGCTTGACGCTTCTCCTCCTCCTCACTGGGAGGGTGCTAACTCTGTTGCATGACATAAGCTCCCTGAAAGTCCGAAGCAAACACGTGTATCCTTAGAGCATCGGGAGTCCTGGAGCCTGGGCGTGCTGTTGCAGCAGCAACGGATCCTTGCTGCACACCTCCACTGGGTGCTGGCAGTGACAGGCAGTGGCTGCTGAGAGGTGACCCCGGGAGGTGACTGGAACCGTGTGGGCAGCAAACACTCAAGGCAGGACCAAGGCCTGGCACACTCACACACCGCTTTATTGACAGAGCATATTCTCACACTCGTCATGTTGGGCTCAGGGTCGCAGTCAATGGGGAAGCTCAGTTCCCAAGACTTCTCTTTTGGGGCAGATGCTCCTTCATCTGCTAAGCCCACTTGCAGCATGAGTTTCTGCCTTTCAACTTGGTCAGGTATTTCCACAATAGCTTACGGATCAGCTGCTGCACAGCATCTTACTTGCCAGGAGAGTGGGCTAAACATCTTGTAGCCTGTGACTCAGCCATGCTTTGTACAAAACTGCTACTGGAAGGAACTGGTATGTCTTCATGGATTTGTATACGGATTTATTTATTTCCGGGGCAGGCACAAAATCTAATAGTAAGGGATAGATTAGTCATAGCTAAATGGCATCATAACGAGTAGTACAAGAACTTTACTGCCTTTCCCTCCCAGGTCAGTGTAAACAGAAATGAGTGACACTGGCAGAAGCTGGGAACACGGTCCGTAGTGGGCATTACGCCAGGCTTTAAGAGGTTCCCTGCTGAACAGCTGAAGCCTGACTGAAGTGACGGTCATTGCCAGCTTCATATCCTGGCTGTCATGGGCTTGGCGACTACTCAGCAGAAAGACAGTGGTGGGCAAGAGCCGTCGCTCACCCCTGAGGAGCCACGGTGCTGTGCCAGCCACACGGTGATGTGGCAGTGGTAGAGCCAAGCCCTGGCCCTGTCTTCTCCAAGAGTTACTGCAGGAGCCTTGGCACTGGACTCCTTAAAGTCACTGTAATGCTCACTCAGTGGGGAAGGCAGGCCTCGGATCTCCAGACTCAGTGGACAGCTTCAGGAGCTGATGACCTTACGTTTTCCTGTGTCACATTTGGCCATTAGCAAGTGGGCTGAACGTAAAGATCCCTGAGTCTGGAGATGTGGAGAAGGTCAGTGGCTGATATATCTGGCTGGAAGGAATAATGGATTTCTGCTGCTTCTATGGTGTAGGGACCTCTGCCCCCACACATGGTGGAAAGCAGAGTGGCCCAGGCACAGGGGTACATTTGAATAAGATCACTGGTGTGTAGGTCTCCACAGGGGTGGAAGCAGTACAGACATGACTGGGTGCACATATTACATAATTATCTGCATTATCTCTGCTTAAGGGTAAGTCTTAGCACAATATTGAAGATGATCATGTGGGCCTGTAGCAGTTATAGAGTGATAGTCTTCCTGTACAGGCTGGTGTTTCCAGGGCCTACTTAGAGCTGCTCTGCTCTGGCCCTGGGCATCTGTGACTTTGAGTGGACAGTTCTGAAGTCATGGGTACAAAACATGAGATGGGGAAACCTGGATGCTACTTCCCAGAAACATTTAAAGACACTTCTGTCTGGTTGCCCTAAGGCCATATATTTATTTGGTACTCTCTCAGTACCATCATGTCTGGTGCCTCCATTTAGATAATAGGTCAAACATCCATAGACTGCAGGGGGATGAGGGGTGAAAGGGCTGGTAGCATCTCCTTTCACTTGGGTGAGAGGAGCAACCTGTACATCTTGTATGTATCATCTCAGGAAGAGGCTTGTTGGGCACCTGCCTTGATGGGCACAGTCAGGCAGCTAGGCACCAGGTACATCAAGAAGCAGACAGATGATGTATTCTGAGTGCAAGGAGGAGGAGGTGTGTTCTGACTGAGGTGGTTAAAATTATCTCGAATGACTGCTTCCCCTTTCCCAGGAAAAAACTGCTCAGCCTACACGGATAACTTTAAGAGATGCCATGCTTGATGTGAACACAGCCACATCTTGAGTAAGCTGTTTGCAAGGCTTTCCTGGCTAATTGTGTTTCTGTGATCCTCATCTAGAAGTCTGACATGGCCTGCAAAACTTCTGTGGCTAGCTAGGGAGCTTAGCAGCAGAGTGATACAGAAGGCGATGCACTAGAGCTGAATGGTGGTAGCAGTGATGCTCACAAAGCCAGTAGGACAGACTGGCTAACTTCCCCGTTTCTTTCTTAGTCTACACAAAGAAGGCCTTAGATAGTTGGACATGCTCTGGGTGTCCAAAATCGGGTGACGAGGACCCACCTTGGTCTGTCTCTAGAGTTAAGATAGGCTGAGATCCTCCAGGTTTGTGTCACCTGGACGCCTCTGTGCTTGGCATTACTTTCAAAGAGCAACCCTCATGGAAAGCATAGGTGCTACCACTGTGGCAGAGAGACCACAGAGATGCCAAATGTGATTAGCATCATGGGGTCTTCTTCAGATGAACTAGTACAAGACTAGTGATCTCAGTGACAGGCAAAGTCAACTCAGATGACTGTTGACCTCTCAGAAACCTGGCAGTTCCCCTTTAAAATGGGTGTAAATCCTGCAGAGAGACTAGTTCTCAGTTACATGTATCCTGTATGTGCATCCTTCATCCTTAGAAGTCATCCTGGAACTGAAAACTATAGATGGCTTTCAGTGGATGAACTGATAATTAGCCCTTGTGTGTCATCTCTGATAAAGGCAGTAGGAGGCAAAGGCAGCCAGTCTCTGTCCCTCATTTTCCTTTCATCCTTCATGGAAGGACGAGGAAACAGCAGCATTATTCCTGTTCCAGTAACAGCTACTGTTGTCAGTGTTAACCTTGCAGGAATACCTGCAATACTGGGCAGTATTGTGCATGCATGCTAGTGGGGAGCACTTGCCTTCCTGTGAGGTACATGTGAATATCCACCATCTCATTACTGTTATCTTGTATTTGCATAGTGAACAGCAAAGGAAGAAAAATGTAACTACCTCTCCCAGTTCCTATGTTTGGTATACATCATCTGATAATTATTCTGGGAAAGGCTGTCCTTTGCCATTGCAGTACATGGATCCCTTATCCTCCCACAGGATCCCCCTCCCACTGATGTCAGAGGATAAATATGTGCATGGGGGAAAGGGCAAAAAATAACAGTGCAGAGCATGAAGAACTTTGCCCGAACACAGAGAATACTGCTGGGTGTCAGCAAATCTCCACGCCTGCACTCCGGCCTTTCTGGCCTGTGTGTCTGCAGTCAGGCGGGGGAGGCTATCGGTTGTTGTGCATGGCTGGAATGGGGCAAGCCTTTGTTCCATGTTGTAAGAGGAGGTTATTTTTAACTTGTCACTCACAGGTGTCTGAATTTGGCCTTTTCTCTAGCTGAAAAGCAGTGCCTCCTTCTGGAGCAAAGAGAAGAGCAGACACATCTCTTTCATGTGCCAAGGTTTGAGTTTCTCAAATGCAAGAGAGAATTTCTGGTAACTCTCAAACTGGGAACATTAAATTAAACAGCAACTGCTCAGGTTATGCTCAAATCAAGTGAGTAGGCAAGCCGAAACAGAATTACGTAGACTGAAAGAGATCATCAGCTGGCTTTATCCTTCTACTTAATTAACTATGATAGAAGTGGATATCTCGGGTACCTCTACCATATTTTGCCTTGACTTATGTTCATTGCTGCACGTCACACAGAGATGATAGCAGCGGTAGTGAGGAACAGGAGGGAGCCTCAGGTCACTAACTCTCACTATTCTCAGGATCTCAGCATCCGTTCTTGCAATGACATGGTGTATGCTTGGTGGGACAGAGCTGTCCTGTGCCACAGCTGCTGCCAGCTAAGGGGAAAGCTTAGTCCATGGGGCACTCCTGAAATGTCCCTCTAGTTCCTAGGAAAAAGGACTGACTCGGTAAATCTTCTTTTCCCAGCATCATTTGGGACACCGGGTCCCTGCCTGACGCCCAGAGCCTGCTGTTCTACCAATTACTGAGCTGCTGCCGTCTGTCAGCTGATGGCCTCATCCTTCAAACACTCTAACTTTCTGTCATGACAACTCAAATTGGCCTTACAGAAGTGTTAAACGGCTTCTCCTGATGGAGTCGATAGTGAGCACAGCGCTGTTAAAAAAAAAAAAAAAAAAAAAAAAAAAATCCCACCCTGAAAGTAAACTTGTTGGTCCTGCCCCATTGGAGTGAAAGTCAGGCCCTGCTGAGTCACGCTAGCAGGCGCAGATGTGTCCAGCTTAGTGTCCTGTACAAGTCAAGATGTCAGCATCATTGGTCCGTTACTGTGGTTCTCACTCTGGCAGGCCTAGTCTTTGTCCTTTCTTCTGAAGCTTGGTGGAAACCTGGCTTGTTAGCTTTGCAAGGAACGCAGTGGGGAGGGAGGTAAGGAGAAGGAATGGTGGTTTTCAAGGAACAAAAATAAACACACAAAACCTCCTGTCCCTCCGAGAAGGATATCCCTGCTGTTCTTGTATCTAGCTGGAATAAAGCTTAAAGGAAGCTTGCTAATCACCCAGAAAGAGACAAGCTGCAGGAAATCCATAAATCACTAGTAGATTTAACTCTGAGATGTAATGAAACTTTCTAATAACTGAAGTTGAATTAGAGTGATCAAAAAATTATGAAGGCACACTCCCTCCATTAGACACGCATGACCTGACAAGTTAATAGAGGCAAACAGCCCAAAGACACAAATTACAGACTTCTGTGGAATGGGGCTGATGACTAAGCAGTTCATGAGCAGGTTAGTTTGTGACCACAGCAGGAATGTTAGCAAAGTGGATTTCATGGCCAGCTGGGCAAACACTGACTGTTTGTCGTGGACTAGCCATGAAGCTGCAGGTACTTGTGTTGGCCCTCAAATCCTATTTGGAAATATTCATTGAACTAGTAGACTACCTGAAAGCTGTGCCTGTGCAAGACTCTACAACCCGAAAGATGTCAAAATGCTTTATAACTGAATCGCTGAGAGAAGGGAAGGGGGGGGCCCTTGCTCCCCAAGGAGATACAGCCACTGCTTGATAGCCAAACTCCTCAGCCAGCATGGTGCAGTCTCCTATTACATCTGGTATTCAACTCAAACCTGCTGAGCTGCAGTTTTCTTTAATGTGGGTGGTGAAGGAAACACAGAAATGTACCTCTTTTCCTCCGGGGGTTCTTCTGAGATAAGTAACACTGGCCCAGGATCCATAAAGTGGTCAGTAACTTCTCCAACTCAGTAACCAGCTGAAGAGGGTTTGGTATCTCACTTAAACTGTTTGCAAGTGGACTTTTAACTGAAAAACTCCAACACGAGAGTGGGTATTAGTGCAGGAACTGTCCAGCCTTCCAGGATGGTTACGGTGAGTAGAGGGCTGAGGAAGCTCTTTGCTGATAAAGAGCAGCCTTTGTGTGAAGGCTGCCTCGAGGAGTAGGTGGTATCTGAAGCCAGTGGTGGGGGGCTGAGCCCGGCTCGGCACTGACCTGGTGTGCTGAGTCACCTGCTGCTCTGACTTGCTGACTCCCAGGAAATTCTCTCCCCATGGACTGTTGTGACTCAAAGACATCTTGATTTTGATTACCAAAAGAACTCCTCCTGCGATGAGTGCTGGATTGTGATGCCTAATTGTGGAGCCCTGGCTGTGTCCCTTGCACACGTGCCATGCCACACTAGTCAGAAACCTAACATGATCAGAGTTCGCCTAACTTCTGCCTCTCCTGTGTAATCTCTCCTAGCCTGTTCCTGCCCAGTTTTGCTCAAGAGTGTGGTTGAGAGGTGGGTCATAGACACAGAGTTTGTTTGATCTCTGTTCTATATTAAATGTTTGTATTTCAAAGAGGTTTCTTCGGGCTGCCTTATATAATATAGGCAGCAGATCTCTCAGTCCCATATTTTTTCAGCTTACAGCACTGGGTTCTTCCTACCAAGATAAAAAGCTTCTGTTCCACTTGTATTAACTTAATGAGTACACCAGCTGAAATACTTAACTATACTTGAAAAGCATCTGGTTTTGACTCTTTTTATTATCTTATAGGTTACCTCTGGCAGGCAGTCCTGGGCACAACAGTGATCCCATTATGTGGGCCTGGTGAAATGGAGAACTGCACAACAGCACTCAGTAAGTGTCCTGCACAGGTCTCCTTGTAAATAACAAGTCTTTGGTTCCCATATTCCTTGGGCTGGCGGCCTCACTGAGGTGCCCTTAGAAATAATTTTTCTGTTGAGCAACTTTGCCAATGTTCTGCAAAGTGCTCAGTATTGTTGAACAAGAACCATTTTTTAGCCTGCATTTCCTTTAATGTTTCTTCTTCGGCAGAAGAGCTCTGTCTGAGGTGAGAACTCTGCTGTAAAAGCAGAAATAGCTTATGTGGAACTCCCAAAGGAAAAGTCAATATAACTCTGGCCTGGGAAAATCGTCTCCCTGTTCAGAAGGCTCACCTGCTTTAATGCCTATGGCATTGGAGGTCTCTTGGTAGTGAGACTGTTAGTCATACTTGTAAAGCTTGTGTGTTGTTTGGGAAATACAGAGAAAAAATAAGGCTGATGAGGTGCTAACAAAATCTCTTTGCAGTCCAGACGGAGAACAGTCCACGTGTGGCTCAAGTTGGGATTACTAGGTGCGAGCCTGAAATGAAGGACTACTGCTTCCACGGGCAGTGCGTGTACATAGTGGACTTGGATGAGCACTACTGCAGGTACGGACAGGGCACCATGCGCCCTGCAGACCTCCCTGAGCTGGTCTTTGAGGTGAGCCGTATGCGGCCTTTGATCTCACTGCTCTTGACACTTAGCTGGAACAGCAATCCAGGAAACTATTTAAATGCTCACAGGAGCTTAGAGGGGCAGCGTGTCTGTAATACACCTCAGCTGCATTTAAGCAAGTGTTAAGCACATGCTGGCTCCAGTGAAACCTGGGTGAGAGTCTTAGACACCTGAAGTTAGTCACCAACCCAACTTAAATTTGGGACATTCATTCTGATGTGCTTCTTGGTTCATCTGTATTTACAGTAGTGTGAGATCCAGACCTCAGGCAAAGCTGCAAGGTCTCTTCTTGGATTCAGCCTACAAAATAAAGAGCCTCTAGTCATTTTTAAGGGTATTCCTCATGTACTTGAAGAATTTGCAACCATTTCTAGGCCCACATGGGCTTCAATTACATCAGTTCAAATTGCTAGTCTCTGAGGAAATAGCAGGCCAGCAGTATAGCATGCTTTGTGGACTGCTAAAGTGTGGCTCCACGGCAAGGTCTCTAATTCTGCACCTCTTACCACCTCTTATCCTCAGGTGTGACGTCGGCTTCTCCGGTGTCCGATGTGTGCATTCAGAACTCGTCAGACAACCCCTCAGTAAGGAGTATGTGGCACTGACCGTTATCGTCGTTCTGCTTTTCCTCACCGCCATCTCTATTGCAAGCTACTACATCTGCAGAAGGTAAGAGAGATTGTCTACACAGCTCAGGAAGGCGAGTCAGCTCTCTGTAGTAAGGCATCTGCTGAGTACCTTCAGTCAGACTGGGATACCTGCACTCGCTTGAATGCATGGAGGTAGTTTGATATACAGACTCGTCAGTCTGCACTTAGTGCAGTGTTCAAAAAAGGAAGTATGCTGACTGCGTAGCATAACTCAAATTGCAGGCCAGGCAACAGTACTCTCAGATGCCTTTTAACCCTGACATAGGACTGTACAGGTTAGTTCACATCTGACTTAGAGGGTGTGTTGAGGTAAAGGAGAGAATGGACACAGGATAGGAAAATTCTAGTTCCTTTTCTTAGTACTGCAGGTGGATTAAAACTAGCTAATTTATCTGCCACGTTATTGTGGTGACTGATATCATGAGCACTGCCTTATCAGCTCTACTGTGGAGGACAGTAGTCTTCTCCATTAACAGACCCACAAGCAGCAGGAATGGTTTCTTCAGGCTAGTAACTAACTGCAAGGAGCTCTCGGATCCGAGAAGGTGGAACAACCCCCCCAGAGGGAGAGCTCATCTTGACAGATCTGAGAGCTAGATGGTAACCACTAGAATTCCTCTTCCCTACCTGAAGACTTGATGGCATGTCATCTCAAACAGAAGATGGCCTAGCTGGTTAGGGTACTCAGCCCGCTTGCAGGGGAGGATCCAGCAGTATTTCTCAAAGGCAAACCTAGTACCAGCAGCAAGACCTCAATGCAGATGTGAAATCTTCAGTGAAGAGTTGAGAGATGAGACTCTGCATGCAAGTTTTCTCAGACCTGGAAGTGAGCACAGACAGAGCCTAGCTGCTAGAGGTTTAAGACAAACGTGAGGAGGTCATACAGCTTTGTTTTTTTACTTCCTTCACCCCCTCATCCCCCCCATCTCACTCCTCAAAAAGCCATTTGGAACAACTGGATTTTCAGAACTCACCCTTCTCTACTTCCAGGTACCGAAACAGGAAGAGACAAGCCAATGCCAGTGAATACAAGGAAGTTGGTGCCCTGTAGAAGAAACGGTGGCTTCCTACTGTGATTCCATTCATCTGGATGGACTTGGTGGCTTCCCATCTATTTAAATGTTATTTTATTAACAATATATACAATATTTATATCCTTTAAAAAATTTCAATTGTTTGGTGATTCAATCAGTGTAGGTCAAGCATTTTATTTTCAGTGTTTTATTTTTTTATTAAATAATATTTCCTAATGAGAACCCCTCCTAAGTGGTTCTGTGGGATAGAGATATATTTTTATAAAAGCTCATTTTCTTACTCTGAAGAGTAATTTTATATTTATTCTTGTGAATATGCTCAAAACAGTTCTACTGCTTGAAATAAAAGTTCCAGACAAAGTCAAAAATGTCTGTGTGGTTTGATTGAAGTGAAACTTGGCATGGCTTGGCTGAGCAGGATGTTGGAAGTCCCAGCAGTTATTTTTGAAGAGAGAAACCATAGTATCACTAATAATATGTATTGATGCACCTTGGTTCCAAAGAACATAGCCGTTAGCTGGCATAATCAGAGGAAGACTTGAAGGAAGAGCGAGCACAGCTCCTAGCACAGCCTATCCGACACGTACCGCGTGACAGTAGCGTGGATCTCGGCTCCTCCGTGCCCGCAGGACGGTTGTGCTGGGTATATTTTGGATTACAGCATGGAGGCGGCAGCACAAGGTGATGGGTCTGTGCAGCTGAACACAGTAACACATGGCAGGTCAGGGCGAGTATAGCTACAGGAAGAAAGCTCCCTCAGAACAGGTACCAGCACCCAAGTCCTCCCTGTAGCCTTTCTGCCGTAGCACCTATCGTACAGCTGGGAGCAGTGGAGAGGAACGTTTTTGAGTTTGGGCTTAATGTAGATATCTTGTTGGCCTAGAATAATTATAGAATAGCCCCCTGGGTTTAGCTGCACCCCAAGCGTGACTCCCTGTGAATAGGAATGATTCTTGCAGCATCTGAATCATCCCTGTTAATTCCCTCACTTCTCACACTTTCAGAAGATGTGAGAGAAAGCACAACGTTTACATCATTCCTGGTCTTTGCATTGCTCGGTGTTTATGGGTGAGACCTGCAATCTCTTGACCTGTGCAACAGGATTGTTGGAAGGAACAGTGGTGGGACCTGAGATTGCAAAGTGAGAGTGCTGTTTCAGAAGCTCTCAGTCACCCAGGGGCCCTTGTAGAGGAATAAATTGGCTCCTTCACTCTCTCCTTAAAATGACCTCCTGTATTAGATGCTCTTGAGATCAAGCAAATGAAAGGGAGGATCTTATTCTCAAAAATGACTTGCCTTGCTTTTCTGTTGTGTGTTGTCCAGTAAAAATTTTCAGTTGAACCTGGAGTTAGCAGGGCTTAAATCCACCTTGCATCATCCTGGAGAGTAAAGCCTGTCTGTGACCTGCCACGAAAGGGAACCTGCGAGCTGCTCCACGTGCACATGCATCAGTTTGGCAGAAGGTGGCCAGCTGTGGCAAGTCCTTTGGCCAGCAGCAGTCTTTGGGCACATAGCTGTTGGTCCTCTCTTTGGAGAGGAGACTGGATGTGAATGGGAACCAAGAAGGGTCCCTGTAGTCGGGGCTGGGAAGCGAAGTGGGAAAGGCTTGCCCAAGTGCTCTGCCCTGGCCATGTGGCCCTGAACCCCTTTCTTTGAAGAAGGTGAGTCAGGTGAAATGATAGCTCTGCTTCTTTCCCAACTTGGAACTCACTTCCTGACTTGGCCTGACTTTCCTTGCTATCTTTCCTCTGACGAGCACCAACCACAGCAAAGTTGTAGTTGGGCAGGCCCGGTGTGTGTTGAAATAGCTCTGCCCAGAATCGGCCACTTCTCGTTGCACTTCTCTCCCCAATGGGGAGTGCACGAGGTGATGAGGAGGAGGGATATCTTCTTAGCAAAATGCAGGTGTGATCTGATCAGGCAGACATCACACATGCTAGATCGCGCCAGCAGCATGCAGCGGGAGAACCTGGATCCTCTGGGCTGCTGCCCGTGAGCTCTGGTTGCAAGGCTGCGACCTGGGATTGAGTTTCTTTCTGTGCTGCTCACTCTGCTGCGTTCGCTGCAGACCTTCTAGCACACACTGCTCACGTGGTCTCTCTGGCTGATAGATCATCAGCGTCTGAACCTTTCAGCTGCTATGTCATCTCTGCCTGCCACGAGCTCGAAGGTAAATGAAGTGCAATCAAGACCCAGGACTGCTCAGCCAAAGGAAGTGATGGCTTTGCTCATCGCCACTTCTCAGCAGGAAAGCTTGACCGAGCGGCATGGCCCAAAGACAAGAAAATCATCCAGATCAAGTATGGTGATGTAGGGTAGAAGGGACCCCCTTTGCATGTCCGTATGACTGCAGGCAAGCTGGCGCTTGCTGTTTGATTTGAGGTCTGTCACAGAGCAGCCTCTGTTCATCTGGCCATGGGATATCTTGCCCAATTTTTTCAAAGACTGGGTTATCCTGTAGGGTTTATGCTTGACATGCTGGGTCTTTGCAGGTAGCCTGTGGCTACCTTCTGCCATCTTCGGAGATGACTGAAGAGCTCATTTTTGACAGTGCTGCAGACCGGTCCTTACCCAGCCCTCAGTGTGGGTCGGGCAGTGTTTCAGATGGGTCTGGTCGGTACAGATTTTTCCCTGGTCCGCCCTTCAGCATCGAGTTAGAAGGGGACCATTGGTCATTCCCAGTTAACTGGGTTAACTCTGTGTCACAGGGCCCTTATGAGCTGCTCTTCAGCTTTTCACTTCCTCTCTCCTTTTCCTGTAATCCAGTTGTCACCCAGGAACCTGTTCTGCCAGGTAACTGGTGACAGCTAATGGTAACCCCAGCCACAGCCTTGTTGTTAGCACAGCCTTTCCCAGTGGGAAGATAGGGCAAAAATCAATTCTTGGAGCCTCCTTCCATTCTTGCTGTGACCCAGTTAGGACACTGGTGACACATCTTTGTTTCCCCCTTAGGCTTCCCTGGCTGTCTGTGAACTGCTCTGGCCAGTCCCTGTTCATCCTCCAGAAACTTTTCCTGGACTCCCCGGAGAGACTCTGCCCAGAGGCGCATACAGCCCGGCTGTGCTTTTGCTCCAACTCCCACCCGCTGCCCTTCCTGCTCCCCTGCCCCCCTTGCCAGGAGCATCACAAAAGGGGGCTCCGTCCTCTCACCCCACCTTTTGTAAATGATGACCCCAGGTATTCGAGGTCCCATTACTAGAGCTCCAGTGGCCAAAAGGCTTCAGGCACTCTGCCCCTGTCCTGCTCGCCACCAGCCCCTCTGCACCTGAGCAACCTTGGTAACTAAAGCTGCATCTTGCCAGTGGAACACTTGGGTCCACATGCCCATTGCTGCACTTGCAGAAGTTTTAAATTGCAGTAACAGCAGCAGCCTGAGGTTTATCATGCTTTTAGCTATTTGGGTCAGGCGAATCTAAGAGGAATAGTTCACTTCCAGGCCAGTGCAGGATCTGTTTGGTTTTTTCCATATGTCTTAACTTTTAGCTGACTGTCTTGATTTGGCTTGGGCTTTCTCCACCTATCCTGTTGCTCATCTTACTCCCAGCCCATAACAGCTCCTCCAGACCCTGTGTTTTTCTCACTCCTGCACATTGAGCAACTGAAAAGCTTGAGGCCACATACCAGCCTGCCACCTCAACAGCTTCTGCCAGCTGGACGTAGATTGCCAGTCCAGCAGCCACGCAGCCGGGTCCTGATGACACACCCCAAATAATTTGTGTCAGAGAGTGAACCTCCCTCATTCTTTCCACGGTATCTGCTGGCACCACCTCCATCCCTCTGGTGCAGCTCTTCCTCACCCGCACTGCCCACCATCAGTCACCTTTGCCTGCAACTCTCTTTTGGCTGGTGCGAGCGCCTGCGGTGTGCCCCTGAGGTTGCCCTGCCCCAGCCTTCCTTACCAAACAGCTCTGCCTCCTGCATAAGTGTTAGAGGCAGTTCTCCCATGACCGTGTCAGACTGCATCACGGCAGAGTAGGTGTGTGAAACAGGCAGGGACAGGGATTAGGGACTGGTGCTGGAGAGACCCGCTGGATACCGCAGCCGTCTACATGTCCTCAGGACCACCAGCGTATCGCTCTGCAGCTTTTCTGCCTGGGACACTTCTGCTGGCAGCTCCCTGGAGGTCTGAGCAACCGCAGCTCCCATCAGCTGCAGTCATGCTCCATTTGACATGGCCCTATCATTTTAAAACATACCCCCATCCCAGACCTGCCCCGTCAGTAACCCTCCTGTGGGGTTCTTGCCCACAAGTCTGTATATTTTATCCAAACGCCATTCCAACCTCTTGGGATTCAGGCAAAGGACAGCTGGTGCTTTCAAGCCTGGGGCTGTCTGACCTAGAAAGCAATGGCAACGACTCCTCCCTTGGTGCTCTGTGGAAGGACAGTGCCTTTTTGAAGTACGGCTTACTGTAAACTCTCTGAAATGCGGTACTTTTGTGCAAATGTTACCGGTGTTGATATTTCCCCTGGTCACAACACAGTCGACTTTTTTTAAGAGGGCATTGAAAGAAAAATCTTACCAAAGGCAGCAGCCAGCCACAAAACTGCAAAGAGATCAGTATGGAAGTAGTCACGGTAATTTAAGCCATCCACCACCTTATCACTTCTCGAGGGAGAAACTTTTTCAGCATCGGTGGTGTGCCCACTGTTACCAAACCTGGAATTACCATTTACCACGATGTCTGTGGCTACCACAGGGGTTAAAACCAAACCTCCTTCCGTACACTCTTCATCCGCGGCCAACACAACAGATGACACAGCAATGCGTTTAACTTGGGAGGCTGACCTTTCTCCCTCCAGATGCCGTCTTGCCTGTTGCGTGCTTCATGGCAATGTCACTAGAGGAGCTTTGGCAATCTCAAGCCTTTGTGAGTCATGTGTCCCCCTCAGCGGGTTTCCTTGGAGTGCGTCAGCCGGTCGTGTCACAAGTTTGCTGAAAGCTGGAGGAAGACTCCTTGATGGTCTTGGGTTACATCACAGAGGCGGAGGACATTTGGACAACCAGTCCTCGTCCCCAGTGAGGCAAGCCTTGGGTTGCACAGGGCATCTGGCACCTCATCTTGGGGCTGCTCATGAGAAGGGCAGGTACGGAGCACAGGGAGGAGGGAGAGGAGGTTAAATGGACAGACTGGAAAGACTTACAAATCCCACACTCGTTGCAAATCTGGGCTGGGTCAGTAGCAGTCATCCTTTGTGTTTATGATGAAGAAAGGATGGACGGATGGACCGATAAACAGATGGAAGGAGGGGAGAAGGGACGGATGGAAGGTGTTCCATCAGTAAATGTAGAGGTTTGGTCTTACACAAATTGTCATAATTATTTTAATAAAGCCAGTGCCAAACCTAA